TAATATATTAATATATTTCCTATAGCTCTATATAAGTTACTATATAATAGCTTAACTTATAATAATTAAAATACTCTATCTTAGAGAGCGGCCTCTACTATAATTAACGAGAAGTAAGCCTAGGTCTACTATAATACTACTCTAGCTCTATTAAGTTAATATCGTTAGCGTAATCGTCTTTCGGGAAGTCTTTTAATTATTAGATTATATTAACGACCTCTTATATATTCTATAGCTATTAGAGCTATCTAGCGAAGCTCTTTTATATTTCTAGCTATAGCTTTATTAATAATTATTTAACGTAATCCGCTTCTATTAATATTAATATTATATCTTCTATACTATTAGAGAACTCTTTTAGGAACTTTTTAATAAATTAACTATCCTTCTAACGTAATTAGTTCTATCTATAGAGTCTTTTATATTATACTTATATCGATCTACTTTATTCTTTATAGAGGAATTACTTAAATTCTTCTTATAAGTATTCCTTCTCTGTAGAGTACCTCTCTTTATAGTCTATCTATATATCCCTTAGCTATAAAGTAAAGTATTATACTACTTAAGTAATATACCTATTCTCGTCCTTAAAACGGTCTTCGTCGATTTCGAACTATTCTTTATAGCTCTATAGAAATCGCTTTAATATAGAGTAGGTCTCCGCTACGTATTCTAGTAATTTCGCTAATTTAATTCTTAGTTAGCGTAGCCCTTAGGAGGGCGGATTAGTAGCTATATCGAGTAATAGTATATAGGCCCCTATAAGTTCTTCTTATAGTCTAGCTTCTATTATCGAATTATAGAAATTATAATACTCCGTAATAGAAATATTACTAAGCTAGTCTTCGTTAAGGGCTATAAGCTATTTCTTAAGCGATTCGATACGGACCCGCTTCCTAATATATTCTATAGCCCTTTCTAGGCGTTCCTCTTTATCGGTTTCGCTATCGTTATTAAGGCTCCGTGCCTTAGGCCTAGGTCTCTTATACTCCGTAGCTAATTACTTAGGCGATCCGGAGTCTATATAGCCTATAATTACGGGAGGCTCGTTAGAGAAGGTGCTCTCCGTACTCTTCTAGCGATAGGAGCTAGCGTAGGTCTCTATTACGTTATTATTTCTTATTATTAGGGTTTTCAGTACGCTAGTAATTACGTAGATCGATACGGTATCGGAAGCCTTAACGGTCTACTCCGTAGGGGTAAAGAATTTAATATATTAGAGCGTTATTTAGAGTAGAGTAAAGAGGTCTTCCGTACGTAGTCCGTAGTAAATAGAACGTAGGTAGGGGGTCGGAATATATCTGAATTCTAGCCCTCCGTAGCTTAGGGGGCCCTCCGCAGCCTATATATACGTTCTCTCGTAACCCTTAGCCCCTAGCTAGCCCCCTTAGCTTAGTAGGCCCTTAGTAGCTCCGTAGGGGTCCTAATATAACCTCCCCCTCTAGGACTCCTAGTCCCTAGGAGTCGGTAGGAATAGCTTCACCCTATAGTAATAGCCCTCCCGTAAGTTCTTAGCCTTACTCCGTAGTATTCTAGCGTAGCGCTCCGTAGTCTTCTAGCGTAGCGCTCCGTAGTCTTCTAGCGTAGCGCTCTACGTTACTCTCGCTAGTACTATAATAGTACTTTACCTTATTATTACTTAGTCGTTTACGTAAATTTAATAAGAGGCCTTAATTATCGATTTTTAGCGTTTACATAGCTTATTTCTAACTTTCCCTTCTTTAGCCCTCCGCTACCCTCTACTCGTAAGTTCCCTTTAGTCCGCGCTTCTCTATTATCTTAGTTTATTAACCTATAGCGTCTCCTTCGCTATAATAGTTTTATAATAGATATCTATAAGTTCCGTAATTCTAATCGTACTATTCTACTATTAATAGCTCTCTTCTTAGCTATATTATTATTATAATATAAATACTCTAGAGTATTAGTCCTTAATATTATATTAATTTTTTATAGATAGATAGACTATTTTACTATAAAGGAGTAGTATTAGATCTAGGCCTCGGCCTAAGATAGCTATCTTATCGATTAGGCCGCTAAGAAGGAGGTCGCTTAGTAGTAGCGCTACCTAGCCGCTCTACTATAAGATAGTATAGAGTACGAGGTACTTTATAGACCTTACGTTACTCGTATAGTATAGCGCTAGTCCGCTAATTACTTTAACTAAAAGGGGGCTACTATAGCTACCTCGTACTCTAAGTACGCCCGTAGTAAGTATAAGTATTAGGAGGTTAGCCCTCCGCTATTACCCTTTTATATCGCTATTCTAATATCGTTCTAGGTCCCTAATTACGTTAACGCTTACGCTACTACTATATAGCTTACTATAGTATAGCGAAACCTAGTTACTATAGAGGCTATAAGCTTTCCGTTTAATTAATTCCTCGTTATATTTAAGGCTATAATTAAGATTATAAGCTACAGTCTACGCTATACCTATATTATCGCTTATATTAAGAAAAAGGCTATAGAGCGTATTATTATTATTAAAGACGATAAAGACGATAACGATAACGATAATAAAAGTAAAAATAAAAAAGAAGATATAGAGGAAAGGGAGGTAATTATAAGCTTTATAACTATAGTTAATATTATTACCCTAGCTCCTATTCCTATAAATAATTATATTATAGAGTAAGCTAAGTATATAATATACGTTTAAGAGTCTATTACTACCTCCCTAATTATCTTTATTATAAGTTCTCTATAATAAATTCTTATTTTATTATTAATTTACTCTATAGTAATATTATTATTAAGATTACGTTTTTAGGCTTTATTTATTACTTATTATACTTAGAATAATAGCCTCTAAGCTTAAATTAAAATTATTACTTTACTCTTTATAATTATTTTATTATTCTATACTTTATTCTCTTATATAATATACTTCCTAGGTCTTTTTTCTATAAGTCCGCTTTCTTATACTTAATAGTAATACGCTTTCTTATACTTTAATAGATACTTCTAACCCTCCGCTTCTCGGATCTATTATAGAGCTTATTCGCTATTCGATAGAGACGTCTCTCTAATACGTAGTCCGAATAATTCCTAATAGTAATCCGCGAAGTCGGCCTTCTATAGTTTTAGATTTAATACTTTATACTAATACGGTCTCGAGAAGTATAGTTTAGCCGGCCTTACCTCTTATAATAAGCTTAAATAATAAGCGGAGTATTACTTTACTATAGTACCCTAGCTCTTCTAGTTAAGGGCGGGTTTCTATAGACTCTTTAGGGTTCTTTACTTAAGCGTTTACCCCTCTACTATACGCCCTTAGCTATAGATAATACTCTTATATATAAAGCTTATAGTTCTCTATACTCTAAGCTCGATAGCCTTTAGCTCTTTATATATAGACTCTATTTATATAAGCTATATATAGATTCTATCGGCCTTTAACCGCTATTATAACTAATTCTATAATATATTAGCGTATCTCCTATAGCTCTATATAAATCGCTATATAATAGCTTAATTTAAAATAGTTAAAATACTCTATCTTAGAGAGTAGCTTTTACTATAATTAATAAGAGGTAGGCCTAAGTTTACTATAATACTACCCTAGCTTTACTAAGTTAGTATCGTCGGTATAGTTATTTTTCGGGAAGTCCTCTAGCTATTAGATTACGTTAACGACCTCTTATACGTTCTATAGCTATTAGAGCTATTTAGCGAAGCTCCTTTATACTTCTAACTATAGCTTTATTAATAACTATTTAACGTAGTCCGCTTCTATTAACGTTAGTACTATATCTTCTATATTATCGGAGAACTTTTTTAGGAACTCTTTAATAGGTTAATTATCCTTTTAGCGTAATTAGTTCTATTTATAGAGTCCCCTATATTATACTTATATTAATCCGCTTTATTCTTTATAGAAGAATTACTTAAATTCTTCCTATAAATATTCCTTCTCTATAGAGTACCTCTCTTTATAGTCTATCTATATATCCTTTAGCTATAGGGTAAAGTACTATATTATTTAGGCGATATACTTATTCTCATCTTTAAAGCGGTCTTCGTCGATTTCGAATTATTCTTTATAGCTTTATAGAAATCGCTTTAATATAGAGTAAGTCTCTATTACGTATTCTAGTAATTTCGCTAATTTAATTCCTAATCGATATAGCCCTTAGAAGGGCGGACTAATAGCTATATTAAGCGATAATATATAGGCCCCTATAGGTTCTTCTTATAGTCTAGCCTCCGCTATCGAATTATAGAAATTACGGTACTCTATAGTAAGAATATTACTAAGTTAGTCTTCGTTAAGGGCTATAAGCTATTTCTTAAGCGATTCGATATAGACCCGCTTCTTAGTACGTTCTATAGCCTTCTCTAAGTATTCCTCTTTATCGGTTTCGCTATCGTCGTTAGGGCTCCGTACCCTAGGCCTAGGTCTCTTATACTCCGTAGCTAATTACTTAGGCGATCCGGAGTCCGTATAGCCTATAGTTATAGGAGGCTTATTAGAGAGGGTACTCTCTATACTCTTCTAGTAACGGGAGCTAGCGTAGGTCTCTATTACGTTATTATTTCTTATCGTTAGGGTTTTCAGCGCGCTAGTAATTACGTAGATCGGTATAGTATCGGAAGCCTTAACGGTCTACTCTATAAGGGTAGAGAATTTAGTATATTAGAGCGTTATTTAGAGTAGAGTAAAGAGGTCTTCCGTATATAGTCTATAGTAAATAGAACGTAAGTAAGGGGTCGGAATATATCTAAATTCTAGCCCTCCGCAGCTTAGGGGGCCCTCCGTAGCCTATATATACGTTCTCTCGTGACCCTTAGCCCCTAGCCAGCCCCCTTAGCTTAGCAGGCCCTTGGTGGCTCCGCAGGGGTCCTGACACGAGCTTAGGTCCAGGCACCCTCCTACCTTATAGAATAGCTATGCAATATATACATTCCTTATGCACTTGAAGCCCGGCGGAAGGTTCTACAGTCTGTCAAGTGCCCGCTAATTTTCCGGCCATATATTGATCTAGTTTATAGCAGACCTAATCTACCTGGGCCAGAGTCTGGTTGAAGTCGTTGACTAAATCCTGCTTTACTCTATCGCACCTCTCCTTACCGAAGAACCGCTCTGAATCTGATTTTAGGTTTTCGGCCTCACGCTTGATGTACATATAAATGGTACTCAAGACAGAGGCTTCCTTCAATTCGAGGCATAGTGTCGTGTCTTTGGTAGCCGTGGCCAGTATACATTCGATTGAGCGCGGATTGCGACTTGAAAAGAGCCATTTGGCGCTAGATGATGAACACAGCTTCAAAATCAAATCGAGAAGCCAGTACTTGTCCGTGGCACACTCGTCGAGCGCGTCAATAATAATAATCTTGTCTTTTAGAAGAGTGTCGACTACCATGTTGGTGAGAATACGCGACAGAGCAACCCAGGCGTTCTTGTTTATAAAGAGGTTGTTGCCCTTTTTGCAATACTCCTCACGGACGTGGGACATGAGCTGGGGATGCTGGTCGATCAAGAAGAATATGAGTCCTCGTAACACAGCCGTTCCGCTGTTGAGGCGTTTATCGGAATTTTGACAGAAGAAGAAGGCTGGCTTCTCAGTCTCCCGGGACGTCTCGCTCAGCTCGTTGATGATACTGCATAGCAGCAAGGTCTTGCCCTTGCGTGACCCGCCCCTGATCCATAGTAAACGACTATCCGGGTTGTTGCGCCATGTCTTGAAGCCGTTGTAGGTCAAGATCCAGCTGTCGTAGTCCACGCCGAATCCACCTTTCGTACTCTCTATGCGTGCCTTGTCGTCGCGAGGATCGGTGACATGCAAGTCTGGCCAAAACTGGTCTGCGCCTTTGAGAGAGTTAATGGAGTGTTTTGGTAGATGATCGAAGATCTTGGTTGGGGAACGCTATGTAGGCTACTGCTTACCAAAGTGCATAGATCCACCATTGCCCTGTCTGTACATACTTGATTCAAAAGTATTCGTTCCACCCGTCGGATTGTTTTGCTGTCCAACAGCTCCGGAAGCCACGGTCTGGTGTGCGTAGTTCGAGCCTGTAGCCTCAAAATCCGCATCATCCAGCGACGGCTCTATGTTGGAAAGCTCATGCAGCGCCCTCTTAATATCTTCCATGTCTTTGTGCGTTGCTGTTCTGAACGTGCTGAGTGTCCCAAGCTTGATTAGACTGCCCATGATGTCGTTCATCAATGCCTCGACCCTATGCCCCTTGGCGCCCTGCAGAATGTGGCGATACCAGCCGCGGATCGTGTCCCACGATTTTTCTCCCCCGACCTGGTTACATTTCATTCCGAGGTCTTTGAAAATACGGTCCAGCTCGCGAGCCTTGCTGTTGCAGTCGTGTAGGACATCTTGTATCTCAATCCGCTGCTTTTCGGTGATGGATTTGTCTATGGTGCGGCGAGCATCTTCCAGCGTCTGCTTGACCAGAGGGAGGTGCTTCTCGACTTGTTTGAATGCATCAGGGAGCTTGGCAGACTTGAGTAGCTTATGCGTCGCCGTTGATGTGGCGTCGACAATGCTGACGATCGATCCGATCAAACCGACAAGGCTGGCAGGGTCCATTGGAACCGGGCAGCGTAATGAATAGCAGACACTCGAGTATCAGCGTAAACACAGTTGAAGGCGTGATGATCAATCTGAGCGTCTATGGGGTCAAAACACGTTCTTCTGCTCGGGGATGGCTTGGCCTCTTATGCCCTGCCGGCGACTGGAAAGCTGGAAACCCGCGCTCGTGCAACGGTGACCGGGCTTGACTCTAACGTGCAGTAGCTGGTATCAGACAGCCCCGGATAGAAGCCAATTGGTCAGGGAACCGCCCTGGAAACAATAGCATTAGCCACGCTGCACGTGCTGGCTGACATCCCTCGCGGCCAGGCTAAGCCAACCAACACCGACGACCCATCTGAGCGTAGCGTGTAGGTCCCCTCATTGTCCGAGCCTTACTTTTTCTCATGTGGAATATCATGGCCAATGGAAATGAATTTGTGTAACAGCAGGGCAAAATGATTGTGTCGTGGTGTTGCCGTCTGGCGTTGAGATCTTGAGAATCCATGGTCGTGCTCTCGATGCCAGCGACGGCGTATCTTATCGATGAGTAGCATCAGCCCACTGAGATACGGCATATGACATCATCGTCCAGGCACAAAGGAGTAATTGGGTTCTGAGTTTGAATCCTACTGTTGAAGTTCCACTGGCCTGACGGGAACGCATGTTCCACACCTTTGCCTTTCTAAAGAGATTTAACCTTGTCCTCTCAGTAGCAGGTTGAGCTACATGCCCGACAGGGGCCTGGATGACGGGGACAAATGCGAAAGATTTCAAGAATGAAGGAAAGAGAACGCCTGAGGTTGATTACGCGCCAATGTTGACTTTCCGAGGCGCACTCTGTTCCGCCGCAGTGTCGAACAAGTTGATGCGGTGCGGGGGTTGCCCTCGAAGTCGTCAGTGATGGATCTTCAAGACAATGCAGCTGCACTTACAGGTGAACGGAATAGCAAAACGTCGCTCCTCCTTGCCGAGCTCATTGATCGCCTTGACGTCCTCGTCGGTAATATTGATCTCCTGGAAGTTCGACTGGATTCTCTCAGGCGTGACAGATTTGGGAATGGCGCTGTGGCCGCCAAACTGGGCCCATGCCAAGATGACCTGCGCCGGCGTCGCCGACAGCCTCTCGGCAATCTCCTTGATGACGGGGTTCTCGATGGCCATGGGTTCGCCAATAAGGTTATTACCGAGGGGCTGCAGTCAGTCAGCAGCTGTCCATACAAACAGCGGAAGGTACACTCACAGAATAGGCCGTGATATGAATGCCCTTCTCACCAGCGTACTTAACGATGCCATCCAGCTGGTTCAGCCGGGGATGGCGCTCGACCTGGTTGACGGCGGGCGTCACTCCCGTGGCGTCGATCAAAGCCTGGAGGTAAGGGGCAGCGAAGTTGGAGACGCCGATGGCGCGGACCTTGGACTTGGGAAGATCGACCATGGCTATGAGGGTCAGCGTGCTGCTCGGACAACTGCTTAGGGTGCCTGACCTTTCCACGTATCTACAATGGAAACATCGAGATCGAGATCAATCTCACTGCCGTCAGCAGTCACAGGGAACGGGTTGCCATCGGTCTTCTTGAAAGCCACGGGCCAGTGAATCAGGTAAAGCTACGGAAGTCAGTGGTGCGCGCAGAGGGATACTGAAGCCTACGAACGTCGAGGTACTCCAGCTGGAGCTCGTTCAGGGTATCTTCAAGCGCAGGGGCGACGTTTTCCGGGCGGTGCTCGCTGTGTTTTGTGAGAAGCGATCAGCGCCTCGGCCATTGGGCCAACTCACCTGTTCCACAGCTTGGAGGTGATGAAAATGTCCTCACGCCTCAGCCCCGGCAGCTCAGCGAGAGCCTTCTTGATGGCCTGCCCAACTTCCTTCTGGTTGCCGTAGCTATCGAGGTCAGCGCTGCCTTCAATCGTGGTCACTACACGCACATCTTCGCCAGGTCCTGATGTTGCGGTCAGCATTGAAACGAGTCTGCGTACAGATGGATTTACCAGATGACGGTAGCCAGCCTTCAACGCTTCATAGACGCCCGCACCGACAACGCCGGGATCCGAAAGCCACGTCCCGTATCCCAGTGTGCTGAATACATCGCGTCAGTGGTGTTCAGTCGGGATGTACAACGACGTACGGGATGTAGGCGCCCGTATTGAGCTTTGCCTTTGTGCCGAACGACATGATGAAGGTAGTTGACGGAGAGATTGCAGGAAGAGAAGTCGGTCCTAGCAATCAAAATTGGACGTAAGCAACGCTCACTCGGTGGACTTTGATTCTCAACCCTGGCTTTCGTAAAGGGGCTACTGTCGTGAAGCCTCTTGTGGGCGGCTAGTGCGGGGTTGGATGGCGATTCAGCAATCGCTCGCCTCCGGCCGGTAGCGTGACGCCCAAGTCCCACTTCGTGGCCACGGTGCGTACACACTCGGCATTCTTTTGACACGAAAATCATCAGCAGAGGCTGTAATGGTGTTTACGATTCTCGCTTACATAAAATTATATACCCAATGCTCAGCAGAGTCAGAAGGTTGAAGCTGAAACAAGTGATCTTGTTGATGGCAAATCCTTTCCCATCAATGCAGTATCAGGTCAGTCCTGACTCGTTTCGGCCCAGACCGTAGAGAGCCTGAAAAGGGATATCTGAAGGAGGAGACCGTCTCCAAAAGATCGTGGAGCATGCGTCGTCCGCGTTTCTACGCAGGCCCTGTACAGCATCATCGGAACCGCAGGTGACGAACAAGCCATGGTGACTGGCGATCACCAATGAATGGTTCGTTCCTCTCCTGGTCGTCCCTCAGTATGCTCCTCCCAAGTGTGCAGCTTCACCATGGCCGACCGGGCTCCGACATACTCTATGGTATAGTTGAACAGCCTCTTCAACGGGGGCACCTCGAGGTCTTCGACCTCGCCCGTGGCAGAAGTCCCGTTCAACCCTACAAGCTCTCGTCGCAGCAGCTCCTGCTCCCTCGCCATGATGACATTGGCGATGCTGGCGCTCTCCAGGCTGTTGTTTATTCCTTGCTGTCGAGGATACTGCGTCATGAGTTGTACCGCACGGCGTCGTACACTCTGAGGCTTCCCCATGTACGCGACGGCAAACAGGGCAGACTGCATCGTGCCAGACTTGGCAAACGGTGGGTGCTGACGGTGGTCGGGCTTGAGGATGCGCTCTGCGAGGTTGACAATGTACTCGTACTGTCGCGGAAGATCCTCGTCACGTTTGCTCTGGTCGGGCAGCTCGGGATCTCCGACAAATATGAGGCGGGTGGCTGCGAGGGCCAGCGACAAAGTCAGCAGCGCCTTGTAAGGCACGACAGACTGGGCCTCAGGGCTGCGGATGGTTTCTTTGACGAAGAGGTCGTGCGCCTTTCTCACTTGCTTGAAACACCGAACGTAGGGCGCCTCGCGCGCGACGAAGTAGTCAAGATCCCCGTCGCCGATGTTGGGGTCCGTCTTTGACGATTGCCGCACCAGCTGCTGGCGCAGGTAGATGAGTGCGCTGAAGAGTGACTCGATCGCCTGAAGGGCGTGCGTCAAGTTGTCGACGGTCAAGGGTCTAGCCGTCCTCGAGTCCGTGGGCGTCTCCAGCGGTGCCTCGTACAGACGCCACAGATGGAAGATCTTACTCGACGCCACCAGCTCCGGGGCCCGGATCAAGTCTCCGTTGTCTTTGAAATAGACGAAGACCTCGAGATTCAGGAGCAGGTCCTTCAAGGGCGCGAGGTTTATCGGGCTGCTGGACGTCTGCGGAGGGACGGTTGATCCCGTGGCAGTAGCCTTGCGTGGTGCCGGCTGCTGTTCTTCGCACGACTGCAGTTCTTCGAGGAGTTGACGGCCCGACGCGAGGTGCATGCGTGCCTGCGAATGGAGACCCTGGACCTTGCAGACGCAGGTGAAGATGACACTGATTGTCAGGGCCCTCCAAATGTCGGTCCTTTGCGGGGGTCGTTCAGTGAGCGATCGGATCGCGTGGCTAAATTGCTGCAGGGCGAAAATCTTCTGCGGCGGATAGGACCCGACGGTGAAGTCTAGGGCATTCGTTTCGTGAGCCGCGCCGAGACAAACGACGGCGTGCCATATTGCCGGGTCTGCATGGCAAGCACGGGGTAGCTCGGCGAGCCAGAAGTCCACGTCAAAAACGCCAGCCAGCGACGGACCAGCGACGTCGAGGAAGTAACGGTAGCTGCGAGTCTCTTTGGGGCATCGTTGCGGCAGGGTAGGCCGGAGGGCCAGGGCGGTGTGTTGTGGCCGAGGGAAGGTTTCAGAAGCCAGCGGCGAGCCTGGGCTTATGGTGGTTTGTGGTACAGAGGCGGACAACGGGCTGCGATCTTCTTTTGCGTAGCCATCGCATTTTCTGCCCGTAGATAAGCATCGTTGGCAATCAGGTTTTCCCTCATCGCAGCGCACTCGGCGTATCCTGTGATTGTTGAGCTCATGGGTCCCTGAATGTCGAGCTATACAGCGCGCGCAGCGCAGCGCAGGAGACTCACTTGCAGGTTTGACACCCCGTTCTCACCTTTCTGTGATAGGCTCGTTTGCGAAGTGTGGTGCCCGCCAAGTCTTTCTCGTCCATCGTATGAACTGTCCTCCTCGTCAGATTGGCGTCCGAGGGGATTCCTACATGGTTTCTATTGCATCACCACGACAGAGGGCAGGTAGTTGGCTGGGTTAGTCTCACTGCAATCGAGAGCTAGGGCAGGATTACCAGCAATCAGGACCTGGGGCGGGGGGTGCATCCGATGCCTTGACAGGGTGCAAATGCAGGTGCCGACCAATGAAATCGCGCGAAAAGCAGTCGGCTTTTGATTTGCCAATCGTTCGAGATCTTCGCCAAGCGGACATCATGGAGTGCCGTACGGACTCTCGGCACACTATTACGACCAGGTCCTCCGAGCATCAGTGCAACACTGCCAGTCATCGCCCTACTTTCACGACATGTAGCCGATATTGCTAAAAGTTTCTGGCGGCAGCAACTTCGTCGAACTATCCTCAAGCACAAAGGCCTTGAGGCCTTGGAAACTGAACCCAGCACCATTTTAGCCAGTCGATCAATGTTGGGGCTCCGACAGAACCAGAACCCATCGTTCACGCCTACAAGGTCTAGCCACCCAGGTATTACCAAATGACAAACTCTCACGTCCTTCGTGGTCTGTCCGTGTTCACATTTTCACATCGCATACGAACGAGCCAAACGTGGACGCGAATCAACTAATTATCATGAACTCGTTATAAGACATTCTATCAGTACACGAGAACCAGCCTTACTATCCCTCCGTCTCGCGGCTCGCCTGCGTCACGCTCGCAGGCGGCACGTTGCCCTCGGCGGCGATGCTCCCAGGCACCGATTCGGGTTCGTAGTAGTCCTCGCCCTTGAACTTGCTGCCTCCAGGGCCGGGCGGGTTGCGGCCCACGTTTGTGATGGAGGCATCCTCGCCTTGCAGCAGGGGATCAGGCTTCTGGCCCTGTGTCCCGAGAGAGTCGATGCCCGGGATGCGGTACACGTCGCCGTCGTTGGCGCCGCTGGGCGTGTTGGCGTCAAGAGCGGCTGCGGGGCCACCGTCGCCCTTGTTGTGATCGTAGAGCTCGCCGCGTGCTTGGCTGTTGGGTGTGTGAGTTAAATGGTGTCCAGTTGTAAAGTACACAATAATTCTTACCGTCCGCGGGCGTCAAGATCGCCACCCTCCTCGGGAGGAATGCGCTTGTTGTAGCCGGAATTTGTGGAGAGGTCGTCGCCGTACTTCACATCCGCGCCGGGAAACTTGTTCTCAGGAATCGACCGTACGCCGGCGGCGTCGTCGGCCTGCTCGCGGGCCTCGCCCGTCTTAGCCTGGTAACTGTTGAGGTCGGCCTCGGCATCCGCCGCGATCCTGTTTAGCTGTTCGTCCGAGGGTGCAGACATGTTTAAAGGAGCAGCAGAGTGTCAATGATTTGTCGTTTTCGTTAGGAAGGGTAAGAGAGGCGAATGGTACCATGAACGCCTTGAAGCAATTGAGCGGCTGCTTTGAAGTATTTGAAGGCTGGCGCGCCTCAACACATCAGGACCCCTATGATCTCATTCCTCGTCATTTGGACTGATATCACGATGCTCCTCTCTGATGGTCATGATTTCGTGATATCCGTCAACTAGTGGTCCCCCTGTGGAGAAGGTCTCCAACACACGGAGGTCAGCTCCGGTCAACGTAGCATCACCTTGGCGTCGAGCATCACTACTGATCGATCGCTCGTTGAAAATCTTTCGAGATTCGGAATCGCCGATGCTGCCGCTCCGTCATGTGGATTAGTGGTGGTAGACTGAAGCCGACACGATGCTGAGGTTGAACCGTCTACAGCGGAACGCGCCTCACAATACATTTCACAGGGCACATGCGTGTTCCTCAGCATCGGCACTCCAAGCTTCATTCAGTACGGCGTTGTCAAATGTGATAGGTGGCGCAGTGTGACACTTCATTGTGATATAAAAGCCGTCGGCGGCCGGAAAGTTTGCTATAATGGCTGCCCGGAGCGCTTGCCAGAAGGCAGCTGGACTGCACCGCCCAGGCTTAATTCGAAAACCTTCAATCGTAAAATCTCATCCTGTTGTCGCCTCCATTCCTTGCATCACCCCTCCGCTAACCGTCGGTGCCGCTGCTGCGGAACTTGGCGCACAATGCCGCGTAGTGATGCGTCAGGTCGAGGACGTTCTGAGGCATGCTCGTGGCCTGGATGATGCTCCGCACCTTGACGGCACCCTCATCTTCGATGAGCGAGCGGACGGTGCGGAGCAGCTCGGGCGAGAACTCGGAATACCATCTGTACTGCCACGTCACCAAGCGAATAAATGCCGCGACGGCTTCCCTTGTGTTCTTGTTGCGCTCAAATACGCGCAGGATGCCGGCCAGCGCCTTGGGGCTGAACCTTGCGGCCAAGCATGATCGGTAGGCCTCCATTGCCTCGTCCGTGTGCTGGAGGCGCTCTGCCAGCGACCCGAGAATTTCCCACTCCTCCGCCGACTTGCGGTACTGCATCGACTGCGCGCGGTACTGCGCCATCTGCGTGCGCCAGATCGTGTAGACGCGCAGGTCTTCATAGAGCACCATGAAAAGACTGTCTAGCCAGCGCTCGCACAGACGCTTGTTGTTGAGCTTGGAGAGATGTTCATCGTTCTGGTGGGTCTACATAGTTAGTACGGGCTTCAAATGCAATCGGTGGAGAGCGGCGACTTACAGCCTCAGGGTCAGCCTTGACCTCGCCGGGATCAATGGCGTGTGTGGGCTTTTCAACAGCGGCGGCACCACCGTCAACGGCCTCCCCATTGACGGGTTCTGGTGTATCACCTACAGTCTTCTTCTCGTCAACGGCGTCCTCGTCGTCGGTCTGCTCTCCGTTTGTTGTCGGATCCGGCGTGCCTCGAAGACCATCGGTGCTGGCGGTACGCTTAATGGTGTTCGGCTGCGTCGACTCCTGCTTCTCGGTGCGATACTCGTCCTCCATGACGAAGACGGTGCTTCGAATCTTGAGGAGCTGGTCCCAGCCAATCTTCTGCGCCATCTCCGTGAGAATGCCGTACGCCTGTTTAAAGGTTCCCTTGTATACTGAAGCACGAAGGTTCAGCAGGCTAGGATCGACCTGCTCAGAGTACCTTGATTCCGGCTCGCTGTCAATCTCGTCGAGGCGTGTCTCTGGCAGCGTTGGGAGGTGAACATCCTTTGGTTCTGGCATCTGCGGCGCATCCTTGTCCTGGTAGGTGAACATGGGACACGAGTTGAGAATCGTCAACGCATTCTCCCAGTCCTCCATGGCAACATAGACCTGCGCGAGGCGAGCCCAGGTGCCGAACTCGCTGGGCGCAGCTATTGTGCTGCGGTCCGCGCATCCTAGCGCCATGCGAAGGCGCTCTTCCTTCTGCTCAGGGGTGGCCGCAGACTCGGCCTTCTTTAGAAGAAACTCAGCCTGCGTGTCAAGCATCACGTAGTCCATCGGAGATTCCTTCAGAGCCTGGTGAAGAACACGAATGCCCTGAACTTCTTCGTTGCCCATGAATAGAACCTTGGCGAGAAGGGAGGAGACCTCGACGTTTTGGGTGCGCAGCTTCTCAAACAGGTTGATGCCCGATGCATAGCGACCGGTGGTCTGGAAGTACTTGAGAAGGCCCGTCGTGAGATGGTTCGAGACGCTGTTAGGTACTTGAACGACCGAATCGGAGCCCAGCTGCCAACCTACAAATGTTAGATTGCATCGTGCAACAAGCGCTGGATGCACCTACCTCGGAAGAAGAGCTGCTCGGCAGCGTTGAGGAACCGGTGTTCCGTCTCCGTGTTTGTGACGGGGTTGAAGCGTCGCACACCCATGATCTTGCGAATCGTCTCTCCGCTTCCGTCGTCCGCGTACGAGTAGGCGCGCAATACGCTGCAGAGATATGTCTCAAGCCAGAGCTCGTCGGTGGCCTTGCGTTTCTCTCCTCGCTCATCTACGCAGTAGCTTTCGACCGAGCCGGGAATTGTGACGTGCACGCGCATGTCAAGTCGGGAAAAGGCATTGTAACAGCTGCGTCTCGTCAGCGACAGATTATTTCGGTTGTTGAAAAGGTCACTCACCAGTAGAGCCCCTCGACAATCTTGATCTGCGCCGACGGGCCATGCTCTCGGTACGTCAGAGTATTGATGTAGGCGGCGAGACTGGCAGAAGAGGAGGCCTCGACACCAGTAACGTGGTGATAGACACCAATCTGCCGAGTTTGTCAGAGGGTTCTGCTGCGATTCACAAACGTGCCAATCTACACACCTGCTTGCCCTGGTTACCCTTGGGTTGCTTCAGGAGATGCACAAGATCTGGGGGTCCGAGTTCGCGCAGGGATATCAGCGAGTCGGTTCTGGCGTCGATCGATTCGTGAATGTGCTCCTCGGTGAGCCTGTCAATGTCAGCGTGCTGTCGTATTCCCCCCTTTCGCATCGGACGACGTACTCGGGAACCGCTGGCGAAACCATGATGGTAGCCGAGTCTCGGTGAGTGAACACCGCGGGCGCTCGTGTCTCAAGCTTGGATCTGTCGAGTACCGGGTGTTATATCTGTTCGCGCTGAGTGCGAATTGGCGTTTTCAGTGGTGTGCCCGTTGGCAAAGGGGGCGGGCCTTGATGGACGACGGTGGGATGGCCGGGGGGGTTATCAGTTGCGATCGTGTCTGGGAATCCAACAACGAGCTGCTGTTCATTTGGCGGCGGGTTGGAGCTGCGGGAGCTTGCACGGACCCTCCCCATCGTGCTCGGTGCCTGGCGGAAACGCTTGGCCATACAGCCTTGTTGTCGCCACAAATCGTGTGTGTGGTACGCCACATGCGCTGTCTTTCAGCCTGGCAAGCCTGGCTTTCATCAGCAGGGATGTATCTGCTCCAACTCTCCGTCGCGTCTCCAATTCGAGCCAGCGACGCGAAGAAAGGAAGTTTCGACGCTTGGATTCGAACCATGAACACATAATTATACAAACTCCATCAACGTCCGGGCTACGGCTCTCTGGGATTCCCCAATACAAGCAGTTCCCCTCGAAATTTCGTTTACACGCCGAAATCATGGTTTGTAGTCTGATCCCGAGCGCCGTTGGTTCAAACTAACAGCCCGTGAAAGCCAGCGTTCCAAGCCATTAACGTCGAGCCGGAGGAGAACCTCGACGACGAGATTGATAACACGCGACAAATCCATATCGACGAAGCCTTGAAGCGCTTCCAGACCGCCCTCAAGCTTCATGCGCAAGGCCCTCGATTCTTTGATGAAGCGACCGATGCATACGATGACCTCTTCAAATCCGACATCTTTCAATACCCTGAAGCCGCGACCGAGTACGAACGAGCCGAGCTGCCGGCAAGCCAGCTTGCTGTAGAGGCCTCTTTCGCTGCTGGTATCGACATACAATCAGGAGAGGTAGACGGAGCGGACAGCACTCTCCCCCAGGCGCTCTTCCTGGCGCACAAGAACCACGGACAATTCCTCCTCGACCGGATAAAACACACGGCTCGCAGGACGGCTGTTCCACCCAAGGCATTCTTCCAGCAAGATGACGTCAAAGAGCAAGCGCAGAAGGCGCTCCTCGATTTCAATGCGGCTCTCGATCGCGACCCCTCGGATGCCGAGCTCTGGAGGCGAATCGCGCGAGTGGCAGGTTATCTCAACAGTGGCCGCATCAGGCGATACTGCCTCGAGGCAGCCATTGAGCTTGACGACGATCCGACCGTCGAGGAGGTCGAGCCCCCGTCGCTGGCGGAGGGTCTCGCGGGCGAGGAACTGAAGGAACATCTCCAGGTCTTGTCAGATGACATGGGTCTGTCGCACCCCATCCTGGGGCCCTGGGTCAAACACGACATGCCGGCGCTCATCAAGCGCCATCTCGACCCCATTCCGTTCCTGCCCAATCCGACGAAAAGTCTCGAGACGACTCGATCAATCCTTACCGTGTCAGAGTCCAAAATATCGATCCGCTGTCCCACAGCCGCCTGGTCCGAGCTGGGCATGGCCCTTGTGCAGCTCGTTGCCGAAGTGGGCTTCACGGGCAAGGGTATTACGATTGACCTTCCCAATAGCGAACCCGACGAGGAAGCAATGGACATCACGGATGCCATACAGAAGCAGCTCAATGAGGAAGTCAGCAGTGCGGCCGTTGACGTTGGTCTGCCGGATGCCATGGATGTGTCGGACTCTGCGACCAAGACGGAGGCTGCTGACGAGAGGGCAGCCGCCGATGGACTTAAACCTCGAAGCGAGGCCGCATCGGCCCCAGCGAGGAAGCGGTCTCAGTCGGTTGCCGGTCTCGCGGAGGCAGGCGAAGACGAAAATGCTGGCGAGAAACGCAGCAAGAGAATCAGACGCAGGGAGACGGCTGGCGCCGGAGAGGTCGTCAACTCGAGCGCACTGCACGCGACGCAGCTCGCTCAGTACCAGGCGGTGGATCAGCACCTGTTTCAAAAAACAAAAGATGTGCTCGAGAACATTGGCGTCACGGACCAGTCGGTCCTGGACCGTATCGGCGAGATTCTTGAGCTCTGCACGTCTGAAGATCGTTCGGACAAATCAACGAGCCAGGCCACCATTGACCTCAAGAGTACGATTACCTCCTTTAATGCGGACAATGCCAAGATTTTGATCAACAAGAAGGAGACGGACACCCTCGGAATGTCTGCCTTCCTCGAGCACGCGAAAGGCGGTAACCAAAAAGTCTCGGCATCTCCGGCCTTTCGCGAATCTCACGGCCTCGGTTCTTTCGCCAAACGCCTCAACGCGGGCTGGACCACAGTCCAGGACATAGCTTGGGAATGGCTCAAGACGATTGCTCCAAGCTATGTTGAGTACAAGTGGTCGGACATGATGAAGGCAGCGGTCGTGCATGTCATTAGCCGTTTCGATCAGGATATCTACGAAATGGCAAAGTATGAAATTGAGGCCACTGCGCAGTCGAAACATGCCGAGCAGGAGCTGATGAGAATTCACAACCTTGTCGAGATGCTCTTTGAGCTCCACCTCGACATATACGAACGCATTACCAATCCCAATAGTGCTGTCGAGTATAGCATCCGAGTTGAGGCCAAGGGGCGTCTCGCGCGATGGCTTGCCTTTGCGTCGGAGCTTTTTCAAGCCTGCCTTGACCCCAGAAGCGATCTCGCCGCCAGGTTCCTCTGGGCTGCCGTCTTTTCGACGACCCTCACCGACAATGTCTCACGCGAATACATTTTGCAGTGCTGGACCAGCCTGCGCGACTTTCTCACAAATGAAGGAGTCGAGGCGCTCTTTTTGCAGAACAATGCTGTCCTCACGGAAATCTCGTCGGCTGCCGCTGACCGAGAGATTTCCAAGCTGACGACGATGGATTTTTTCTTGGGTCTCTTCCAGGACGATATTAGCGATCCCGTGGCCATTATTGACAATCTCGAGCCAGTCTTGAACGCCGACTCTGTATATGTGCCCAGAAGCGACAGCGATGGGGAAGCCATCTCGGGGAAGAACAAGAGGATACCAATCAGAGATTGTGCCAGTCAAGGGCTGCAGGATCTCTGGAAGTTCATCAAAGGCACGAGCACCGAGTTGCGGTTATTCCTTTGGTCACGCCTCAGCGACGCATATGGATCGATATCATACGCGACAAAACAGTTTTCCTGTCAGCTACGAGCCATCGAGATGGTTGTTGCTGATTTCGAGGGGGATCTCTATCTCAAGAACCCAAATGATACCCGTCCGGTGCTCTTGCTTCGCATGATGAAGTCACTCGACGAGCTCCTCATTCGCGCCCTGTCCCTGGCGCTCAATGAACAGAGCGCCTATGACATTGTCGACGAGGACCACCTCAAGGCGACGGCAGCTGCTCTCGCGAAGCTGAGCTGTATGCTCCACGTCTCGGCCTCCTTGGAAGACGAGATACGGATCGGCATGACACAGGCGCCTTCGGGTGGCTCTGTCTTTCAGGCATTCATGAACAAGCTCCGGGAGATCCAGGTGCGCACGTGGTGTCTGCAGTATACCGTCCTGAAGACTGGCATCATCCAGCACACGGATGTGTTCCCAAAGCACGAAAGCGACCTGGCCGAGTACCTCGCTGCGATCCACAATGTCCTAGGCCCGCGCAAGAGTTGCAAGGCTTCCAACAAGATCTTCCTCAAGATGATGCGGATGGAGCTGCTCAAGCTGAAGAACATTGACAACTGGGAAGACTACCTCGGACAGGTGCTGTATGATTTACACGGACTGAAGCTAGGCGTTGGAATCTGGGAGGTTCAGGACCACGGGTGTCCGCCGGAAAAGCTCGAGCGGCGCAACACGATACAGCTGGCCGACAAGATTACGGTTCTCGCCCGACGGATGCCGATGAAGGACCTGCTGAAATCCGAGCTTAAGACAACCATTGAACACATGCAAGGCGCCATTGGCCCCGTGCGGTCAACACCACAGATGGTACACAACTTGCGAAACTACACAGAGTACTTCAAGCGTCCGGTACACCCCCTTCGTCTATATCAAGCCCTCAAAGGCGGCGTCGAGCTCGATACCGTGTCCGTCAATGCCCCCGAGACGGTCCTCGCTAACCACGGTTGGTTCTTCCTTCTCGGGTCCATTGCTCTGAGCAAGTACAAGCTTGTAGATCTCAGCAAAAGGCAGACGCCCGGCGCCATGGACGACCTGCGAATCGGAGCGACCTTTCTGCGACACCAGCTGCAGTTCACGCCGAACAATTGGGAGGGCTGGTTCCGGCTCGCCGAATGCTTCGACTACGAAGTCGAGGATGCCGTTGTTTGGTCTGCCGACAAGATGAACAAGGACAGAGCCGAGCTTGTCAAGTTTCAGCGCAACTCGATCCACTGCCACACGCTCGCGCTGTCCAAGTCTGTGGGTGCCGACACGGACTATGAAGAGGGAGATCCGTTGCATGATCTCTATCACAATTTTGCCATGCGCTTGTACGCGTCGAGCCGGGAACCGTTCGCCATGGAGCCATTCCAGCATTCTAATCACGAGCGGACGTTTATCGAGAACACCGGCATGGGCACGTTCCAACGGGTCTTGCACAACCAGATGCAGGACTACAAGGTGTGGAAGTACGCCGCGGGCCTTTTCCACAAGGCCATGCGGAGGAAGCCTTGTAACTGGAAGTGAGTCATCAGCATATCGGTGGAAGAAACCCGCTAACCTTGTAGGAACCCATTCATGGTCTCGAAATGTCTGTGGAAAATGTATCAAACGCCAGACGAGAACCTTAGCGCCACGGACCGCGCCACGAAACCGACGGTTGACCGTGTCATCAAGGCGCTGGAGCATGCAATCGATGTCGCTTCAGCCGTGCCCAAAACTCGCAACAGCGACCCCATTTTGGAGCCTCACTACAAGATCTTGTCCATCGCGCAAAAGTTGGTGACACGGGGAGATCTGTCGTCTGAACAGGCCACCATCATCCTCGCACGACAACCGTTTGGCATCAGAGCCGAGACGGACGATGGTGACACCTCTGAGGACACTGAGGACTGGGAGGAGTACGTGATCCGAAGTCTACGGCACCTGCGTGACAAGGACAAGTCAAACTGGCAACACCGCATGATTGTCCGTCATGCGCGTCTGCTGTTCGACGACTCGGCCCAGTCCAATGCCGACTATGTGCAAGCCAAGGCCGCCTTCAACGTGCTTCGAGAGTCCATGTTCACCAAGACAATGGTCATGAACGTCTGGAAATGCGAGGCCGAACGGCCCGGGCGGCACCACGTCTTTACTGAGCAATATGTGCGCCTCATGGTCAAGATTCTTGTAGTCATGAGCGACAGGGTCAGCCTCGAGGCGCTTCTGCGGCGTATTCGCAAAAAGGGAACCGAGTTTTACCATTTTGCGGATCTCTGGCAGACCTGCTGCCACTCGTACCTTGCTCTCTTGCGACAGAGCCATAAGGTGCGACCGAATGAGGAAGACAAGTTCAAGTTGGTTGCGACGGAGGATTTCGAGATCATGGCCGACCGTCTCGCAGAGTGGGCCGGCGAGTTTGCAGGCGACCTGCCAGTCCTACAGTGTATGAAGGAGGCCATCGAGCTCAAGAAACTCAATGGCGGTCTCATGAAAGCCGGCGCGATTGACGAGGTCATAAACGACTGCTACACCTACTTGTACCTCGAGATTGGTCCCACGCTGCCAGGACCCAGTCCAAGCGAAGTGCTCGAGGCCCGCGCCCGCGCCCGCGCCAGGGAGGAGGCGCAGAACGATGCGTCCAACTCGCTGAAGCCGCAGAGCACCCTCACCAACATTCTCAACCCGCCGGGCAGCCAGGAGGCGAACGGAGACGGCGAGAAGCAAGCCGAGGCGTTGCCCCGTAAAAAGGTGGGCATTCGCCGGCCGGACATTCTGCGCAGAGCCGAGCAGGTCTACACACGGGCCATGGAGGCGCCCAAATCTGCCGGCCTCGCATCCAAGTCTCGTCTAGGCTCCATCTCGAGCGGCAAACGCGGCAGCAACACGCCCAACGGTGGCGAAGCTGCCAGCCCGGCCAGCGACGGCTCCGACATGGACGAGCCCGTCGGCGATGATACCGAGATGAAGGACGAACCGACCATTGACGAGGGCGACGATCCTGATGCAACGGCCCAGATGACCGCAGCGTCGAGTCCTCGCGGTAGCATCCACGACTCGGCCGACGACGAGAGCGACCTGAGCGATGTGCCTGAGGGCTGGGATGAGGAGCCTCCCCCATCTATGCTGTTCCATGATATGAAGGCCGAGGATGGGCATCACAGCAGCGATGAGGATGCCGACGAGGCTGACGAGGAGGGTGACGAAGAGCAGGAGGACGAGCAGGAAGACGAGACGATGGGTGGTGTCGACGCCGACGTTGAGGACGAGACCATGGAAGCCCACGAGGAAGACGAGACTCTCGCTGGCCACGAAGACGAGATGCTCGATGACCACGAAGACGAGACGCTTGGTGACCACGAAGATGAGACGCTTGGTGACCAGGAAGATGAGACGCTCGGTGACCACGAAGACGAGACATTAGAAGGTCATGAGGACGATGAGACAATGGAAGGTCACGAGGAAGACGAGACCATTGGTGGTCCTGAAGAAGATGATGAAGAGGCGGAGGAAGAGGAAGAGGAAGAAAACGAGGAGGAAGCGGAGGAAGGGGATGAAGCTGAAGAGGCTGAAGAGGGCGACGAGGCTGAAGAAGATGAAGAGGCAGAGGAGGAGGGGGAGGACGAAGCCGAGGAAGCTGGAGAAGACGGCGAGGAGGAAGATGAGGAGGAGGAGGAGGAGGAGGAGGAGGAAGAGGGGGACAGTCGCGAGGTTGCCGACGAAGACGAGGAAGGCAGCGAGGCTGTCGAGACGGATGGTTAACATCTTCATGTTATGCTGTGTTACGATAGGAGACGGAGTTCAGGCAGGGTGCTTGGGCAAGCTTAGACAGATAATCATACAACACGGCTCCTGTTCGCCTTTGTTTCCTGTTTTGCAGCAGGGCCAATACATCCAATCGAACAACATTGCATGGTCTCAGTCCCATGATCATCGAAAACGAAGGGCGATACTAGGTACGTCTGTGATGTGAGGCTCGCGGCCCACACCCACTATCCCTGTCCAGGCCCCCACTAGCGGCACGGCAAACGTCGCCCTTTCAGCCTACAGCACAGGGCAGCAGCTGGCAGCTCTTCCCGACTTCCATTGCAACCTCCAACCTTCCATCATCGAAAGCGATCCCAACCCACGTTCAACGCGACGACAACCGAGACTCTGCCGACAGAACCACACGCGGAACGCACAAACCACAGAAGCAAGCAAGAACCATGGCTTCCTCCGACACCAAGCCCGCCGACAAGACGGCGCAGGACCCCAAGGTCGAAGAGACGCAGAAGCCCGCCACCGCCGCGGCGCTCGGCGAGGACGACGAGTTCGAGGACTTTCCCGTCGATGGTGCGAAATGCCTGCATCGCCACTTGTGCGCCGTCGCTAATCGGAATAGACTGGAACGAGGAGGACACGGAGGCCGCGGGTGGCAACAACACGACGCAGCACCTGTGGGAGGAGAGCTGGGACGATGACGACACGAACGATGACTTTTCCGCGCAGCTCAAGTGGGTGTCGCCCGACCGCCTAATGAACTGATGAGCCAGTACGCTAATGAGTTACAGGGAGGAGTTAAAGAAGGTCGAGGCGTCGAAGCGACGGTGAGCAGAGAAAGAAAGAGAGCGGGCGCGGGGCGATGCTCGAAAGACGAAGCCCGGGCAGAAGGTCAAGGGCGTGACGTGTTACGATACAGGCTTAACAGATCAGCACGAGACATCAAAATACAGCATGCAGTGCGGCGATGGTTGATAATTCAACGACGTTCAAGCTTCCATTTCTTTTTGTGGTGATATCTAGGTATACTGGGCTCGGCAGTCTGGCATTACAAACGAGGCGCGCCTACGGCTTCCCGATCGTCAGACCGGACGCCATCGGACAGCTCATGGCTTTGAAAGCCTACTTACTCGACAGAGCAACGACACCAGGCAGCTCCTTGCCCTCGAGGAGCTCGAGCGACGCACCACCGCCGGTGGAAACGTGGCTGAGCTTGTCCTCGACCTTGTACTTGGCGGCCACGGTGGCCGTATCACCACCACCAATGATGACAATCTTGCCGGCCTCACAGCCAGCGACGGCAGCGTCGAGGGTGGCCTTGGTGCCGCGAGCAAACTTCTCAAACTCAAAGACGCCGGCGGGGCCGTTCCACAGGATCGTCTTGGACTCGTCAATGGCCTGCTTGTAGAGCTCAATCGACTTCTCGCCGCAGTCGAGACCCATCCAGCCGTCGGGGATGCCAGTCTCGTCAGTGGCTGTGCCGGTGTTGGCGTCCTTGTCAAACTTGTCGGCTGTGATGTAGTCGACGGGGAGGACGACCTTGACGCCGTTGGCCTTGGCCTTCTCAATGAGTTTACCGACCGTCTTGGAGCCGGCCTCGTCAAAGAGCGAGTCGCCAATGGAGACGCCCTCGAGAGTCTTCTTGAAGGTGAAGGACATGCCACCGCAAATGATGAGCGTGTTGACCTTGTCGAGGAGGTTGTCGATGAGCTGAATCTTGTCCGAGACCTTGGCGCCGCCGAGAATGGCGAGGAAGGGGCGCTGAGGGTTCTCGAGCGCCTTGGCAAAGTAGTCGAGCTCCTTCTTCATGAGGAAACCGGCAGCCTTCTGGGGCAGGTCGACGCCAACCATAGAAGAGTGAGCGCGGTGGGCGGTGCCAAAGGCATCGTCTGCGCATGGTTAGCTCGGAGGGGCAACGCTGGATAAACTGGCTGCTACGTACTGACAAAGACGTCACCAAGAGCGGTCAGGCCCTTGCGGAACTCCTCGACCTTGGCCTTGTCGGCCTTGACCTTGTTGCCGTTCTCGTCCTTGGAGGAGCCCTCCTCCTCGGCGTGGAAGCGCAGGTTCTCGAGCAGAACGACCTGGCCGCCGGTGGCCTTGTTCACGACCTCCTCAGCCTCGGGGCCGACGCAGTCCTTGGTGAACTGGACAGACTTGCCGAGCAGCTTCTCGAGCTCGGCGACGACGGGCTCAAGGCTGTACTTGGCGTTGACCTTGCCGTCGGGGCGGCCGAGGTGGGACATGAGGACGACAGCCTTGGCGCCGTTGTCAATGGCATGCTTGATGGTAGGCACAGCACCGGCAATGCGCTGGTTGTTGGTGATCTTCTTGTCGGCGTCGAGGGGGACGTTGAAGTCGACCTGCGTCGATGATTAGCATTGGTATTGCGAGAGCTTTCCCACCGCGCGTTACAACGTACGCGGATCAGGACCCTCTTGTCCTTGAGATCAACATCGTTGATGGAGAGCTTGTTGGCGAGCGACATGATGGCGAATTTGTTTCGTCTATTGTTCTGGTGATGTAAAAAGTCCTGAGGCTTTTTTTCCAAATGGCAGTCGAGAAGAAAAGCACGCAGAGCTTCGATAGGGTCGAGGAGGTGGGATGGGAGGTTGAGTTATGGTGGGGTGATGGCATTAGATCACTCTGCAATTTTGGCGGGGTCGCTTCTGGCGGGCAGGGGGGCTAGGAGCTGTTGGGCAGGGCGATGGTGCTGGTGCTGGCGCTCCCTCTGGCTCTGGCGCGGCGTGGGCGCTGCAGCTGAAGTGAGGGGCAGCGGTGCCTGCTTGCATCCATCGACTGGGCCAGAGACCTTCAAAGATTGCCGTCGCCGCCCGAGCACCAGCCGGCTTCCCGTCTTCTGCCGGTCGATATGCAGATGCGAAACGGAAGCGCAAGGTCTATTTCGAGGTAGTCGTTTCACGTGCAGTTATTCATATCACGGCGTTTGAAGACGAGCACTTGGACAACTTGCCATTGTAGATGCATCTAGAATCCAAAAACATTCCAAACGCCCAACACCCAGCGCCTGTGATGCACATCCTGGGCATCAGCCAAACATGCACCCACCGAACAAATGAAAAAAAGTCGATCAGGTAGTCAGCCTAGGACAGGCGAATGTCAGAAGTGTGCTGGTTAGGCCTGTTGTCGACCTCCTCGGCCGAGTTGCTCAGGGACAGATAGGCCGTCCATGCGATTCCAATGGTGGACACAAACGGCAGCTGGAACTGCACGGGCATCAGGCGAAAGTTGATGACCTGCACCGCTGGCCACACCAGATAGTTGGCCTTGAGCGTCGGCACGTACATGTCGCGCAGCTTGTTGTACACGGCACGGCGGCCTCCTCCCTCGGCAACCGTCATGGCGGTGAAGAAGACGCCGAGACCAAAGGGCGCGAAGATGAGCTGGTCAAACGCGACACGCTTCATGGCAGGACCGAACGCCGAGGTCTTGGACATGGGAAACGTCGAGGACAGAAACTTGAACCACTTGAACTGGAGCGGCGCCATGCAGAAGCCGTAGGCCATGAAGCGGGTGAGGCGCTCAAAGTCGAACGGCGGCGGCAGGGCCTTTGAATCGGGAATCAAGTCGCGGTCGATGAGGGGGTTCTTGCGATCGAGCTCGTGAATCTCAATCGCCACATCATCGTCCTTGCCGACGCCACCAGGCTGGCGAAGCGCCGTCTGGCGGAGCACCGTGATGGTCTGGGCAGTCGTATCGGCGATGCCACCGAGGATGGCATTGGTGACCATCATGGTCATGACTGAAGGTGGGTCAAATTAGCAAGACCACAAAGAAGGTGTGTGTGTCAGGGAGCACCGGACGTACGGGGTCGCTCATCGTAGTAGGCGTTGAAGCGCGCTGTCAACCTCGCGACAAGGGCCATTTCGATGAAGAAGATGATGGCGTGCACCAGCGGCTACATCGTCGGTCAGCAGGCAGGATCACCAGTGGCAAACAGAGGTCCCACATACCAGGCGACCGTAGATGTATTTCGAGTTGACGGTACGGACGATACGGCGACGGCTAAGTTCCCAGGACATGGTGTTGGGGGTTGATATGGAAAATGGATTGGTGTTTTGTCAAGGGTCCCTTCCTTGGTCGCGTAGAGATAAGGTGGGCAGTAGCCACCAGGGCAGGTGGAATGAGATGTCCGCTACGTCTCCCTGACAAACCCCAAGGGTACTGGGCGCACAGAGACACACGGTTCAATGACGACAGAGGCGAGGCTGGAAACGGGGGTCAAGCGCGATCGCCGATGGCCGACAGTCTTGAAAGAGCGGCTGATGGATTGAATGGGATGGCGATTTGTGATGGAAGAAGTCGTCGTCGTCGTTTTGGTGAGCAGTCAGAGGACTTGCGTCGTCAGTCTCTGTGAAAAAGATGTCGGGAGGCAAGACGATGAAAAGGATTGACTGGAACGAGCAGTTTCAAGTGGCGCAGGAGGTCCTTGGTCGCCGCTCACGGCATCGATCCCCTGTTGATGCTGAGAACAGCGCCTCACTCAGGTCTGCCGGCCCCCGTTCAGGCTCCTTGGGGTCTGCCCAGTTGGGCCCAGTTAGGCCTAGGGATCTCCAAGCCAAGAATCTGCCCCCACCACCAATCCTGCCTCGGAGGCCGTCAACGTACCATGTACACAGTCTCTGTGTGGGGAAACACTGCACAGCGTCAAGCGACAGGGGCTCCTTAGCGCTCGTTCCGGGCGATCCGGCCGCCGTGCCAGCCGGCAAGTAGCGATGTGTACAGTGTCTGGACTGTATCAAGTAGGAGATTCACATGGAGTGCCCATCACACGCTTCGGTCAATCTTGTCGAGTGTAGCCCGTGAGCTTTTTATATCTTCAAACACTTAAGGTACCTTAGGTACGTTGCTACCTACCCTTCTGCGAGCAGCCTCGTCCAATCAAACTTTCTCCATCCTCTCTGAAAACCCTCGACTCGAGTGTCGTCTCTCCTCCACCGGCCCTGCTTCTTGATGACGTCTGGCCCGACGTCCATGATCCCACCGACAATCTCTCGCGCAAACAAATCACCCCGCGGCCACTTGTCCGAGTTTTCGATTATGTGACCCAAGCCCCCATCCAGCGTGAACCAGACATGAAAGTAAGGCATCTCCTTAGCAATCGACCGCCGGAACGCCATGCGGCCCATACCCCCGGCCGCCTTGGCGCCCGTGTCAATGACCTTGCGATGTTGCGCCCACTCCTCGTCTGCGGACAGGAATGCTTCTTTGAAGTACGCTGGCACCATGGCACCCTCCTCGTAAGGGATGGGCACGGCAATCATGGCCGCATGAAGGTGACGGTGCGGTGCCGCGGCGTTCTCGTAGAAGATGACCTCTTGTCCCTTGTCGTGGTACATCCGCGTCAGAGACTTCATAAAGTTGCGCAGCTCCTCCCACTCGTCGTCGTCGCACTCCAAGAGGTTTTTGCGGTGCGTCAGGGGCGCAATGACGGCACCACCGGGACTGACCTCGGGCTCTGTCGCCAGCGTCAAGTAGACGCGTGTGCCCAGCGAGAGCACGGGCGCCAGCGGCTGCTGGTTCTTGTCTTCATGATAGCAGAGCGGACAGTTGTCGAGGATGCGGCTCAGTTTCTGGTATTCGTTGACAGCGACGTTTTTGAGGTTAATTTCCGACTTGTGTACCCGTTTCGCGAGCTTGTCGGCATTTTCGTCCAAATACTCGAGGTCGTCGTCAAACTTGCCGTCCTTGGCGATCCGCTCAGCCAGTCGAGCGCCTTCGCCGCCGGCTTGCCCGCGCGTCCTACGCTCCTCGCGCACCATGTCCTCGATGGTCATGTCATCATTGGCTTCCACATTGCCCCGCTCCCGCCCACGCTTCGTCTCCACGGCCTTGACCTCGCCGCGACTGCCGGCAAGCATCCTGTTGTCCTGAGCGCCGAGCGTGACGGATTGAGGGCCCTTGGTCGCAAAGCTAGCCGCGGCTGCGTTGTATTCTGACTCAAGCTGGGCGGCATTGGGAGCCCTCGTCAGTTTGGCCTTGACCATTTGCGCACGTAGCCTGTTCAGGGTGGTTTGGTCCATTGGCGTGTGCTGCATGGGCTCATCGGGAATAACGACGCCTTGCTCCAGTTCATCAGGCGCTTCATTGGTGGTTGTTTGTGTGATGCTCAGCTTGGCCATGCGCTCTTCATAGAGCTCGCCCGTCGGCTGCTCCTTGCCGACGTAGCCCTCGCCGTAAATCTGTCTCCGATCTAGCTCGCTCTTCTCTTCCCGCGCATCGTCAAACTCTCGAAGGCCGCCGAATCGTTCAAGAGCCACCTCCTCTGGTGTACGCCCGCTCTGTTCGGCCGCGGTGTAGACAGCCTTGAGCTTCATCATCCTCCACTGGGAGCCCGAGTCTCCAAACTTGTAGTTGAAAGTTCTTTCGGCCGGGTTATCCGGTAAGCTGACCTTGGGGGAATCGATCTCCTTGTTGATCTCGCGTTCATGGATGACTCGGGGTGGTTCTTCCTTTGGTGGGGGCTTCTGATCTTTATCGCGTCGATGTACGTAGTCAACGTCCAGTGCAGACGGCGCTGTCATCCAAGCATCCCGGACAAGAGCGGCGCTCGGTTTCCCGTCAATCTCCGGCGTCTTCTCTTCGTCCGGGAGAGGAAGGTCCTCCTTGGGGTCGGAAGTCTTGTGGTGGTCGTCGCGTCGCCGTTTGTGCCTCGACTCTGACGCGTCGTCGTCTCTTTCGTGGCGAGATCGCTTATGCCTGTGGCCGTTGTCGCCGTCATCGTTATGATGACGCGATCTATGGTGTCGGTGCCTGCGCTCGTCATCTTCTCCGTCGTGGCGTCGTGATCCATGGGATCGGTGACGGTCGCGGTCCTTGTCTCGATGCCTCTCCGAGGGCTCGTCGCGTTCGTCTCGATGATGGTGGGTGTGTCGATTCTTCTTGCGCTGCCTCCTCTCTTCCTTTTCCCGCTCAATTCGCTCTCTTTCGCCCTTTTCCGCTGCGAGCGCCTTTTCGAAATCGTCGAGTCCGTCCATTTTTGCCGTGTTACGAAATGGACCAGACTTTGGGAGCGACCCATCCATCAGACGTCACTTTTCCATAGCTGCAGTGCACGTCCCACATCCGGAAATCGAGGCCAGTGCAGGGATCTTGACAGGCCTTGCGCTGCCCCACGCTCTTGCCGCGGGGCATCTTTCTCTCACCTCCAAACCCGCCGTCGAGGTCTGCACCTTTTTCTTTTTGCGACAGCCTCCATCATTCCCGGCGTGACCGACCCCTCGACATGGCTTCTTCAGCTCCGCCCTCCAGCACTGCCAAACAGCCGCCCGCCATTGTCTGCGTTGGCATGGCCGGTATGCACCTCCCGTCCGAACACCCCGGTATTCCGCTAATGTGATGTGCTTCGCAGGCTCCGGCAAGACGACCTTTATGCGCCGTGTCAACTCGTATCTCCACGGCAAAAAAGAGCCTCCCTATGTCATCAACCTCGATCCTGCTGTGATAAATGTCCCATTCGAAAGCAACATTGACATTCGCGACTCGGTCAACTATGAGGAGGTTATGAAACAGTACAACCTGGGCCCCAACGGCGGCATCCTGACGTCGTTGAACCTGTTCGCGACCAAGGTTGACCAGATTGTCAACCTCCTTGAGAAGAGGACGACGCCCGACTCAGCGAACCCAGACAAGGAGCCCATCAAGAATATTCTTGTGGACACACGTATGTTTCGCGACGACCCATTCACGCTATGTGACTGACAATCGCAGCCGGCCAAATCGAGGTCTTCGTCTGGTCTGCCAGCGGCACGATCCTCCTCGAATCACTCGCCTCTTCCTTCCCGACCATCATTGCATACATCATTGACACGCCGCGCACCGCTTCGACCAGCACCTTTATGAGCAACATGCTATACGCCTGCAGTATCCTCTATAAGACAAAACTCCCCATGATTCTCGTCTTCAACAAGACCGACGTCAAGGACGCCTCCTTTGCGAAGGAGTGGATGACAGACTTTGAAGCGTTCCAAGCGGCCCTGCAGGAAGACGAGGCGGGCGAGGAGGGTGTCGGCGGTGGCGGGTCCGGGTACATGGGCAGCCTGCTCAACTCGATGAGTCTTGTGCTTGAAGAGTTTTACTCACACCTGAGCTTCGTGCCCGTGAGCTCCAAGCTCGGCACCGGCATGGAGGAGTTCTTCCAGGCTGTCGAGGAGAAGACGGAAGAGTTCAACAGAGACTACCTACCAGAGCTGCAGAGGAGAAGGGCCGAGAGGGAAGACCAGAAACGCCAGACGCGCGAGGCCGAGGTCGACAAGATGATGAAGGGACTTTCTGTGGACAAGAAGGACAAGGTCAAGGAAGCGGACGCCCTCGATGACGGGCCCGACGTTGTCAGCGACATTGACGACGATGATATGCCGGACGAAGAGGGCGACAGGGAGGGCCTGCAGGCACGGTACGAAGCTTCGATGCTCGCCGAGGGCGATTCGGTCATGTCAGACGCCAGCTTTGCCAAATACCTGCATCAGCAGAGGAAGTAAATTGACGTCGCAAAACTCTGGGGGCTTGGCTGGACTGGCGTTTAGGAACAACTGCATTGCGATCAAAAGAAGATACCTGGGATGTTCATCTCCCAAGCATGTACCAACACCAAACTCCGTGACCTGTGACCTCCGTGGCCGCCCCCTGGGATTTACCGCAGCTTGGATATCCCGCATTGGCAGACCTCGCCACACCACCTCGTAGCCTTTTTCATCGTTCGTCCATCCCTTCATTGTCCATGCAGCATTCACCTCGCCTCAAACTGAACCATGCTATACGCTGTTAGCATGCGCCTACCCGCGCGAGAGCAAGTCAGCTTTCATACCGCTTGGTGCGCTCCTTGTACAAAATGCGGCAGCCGCACTCTTTGCATCGAATGGCGTCGCCGCGGCGCATCTGGAACTTGAGGCCGCAGTCACCGCAGAGGTATTGCATCTGAGGGCCGACCTCACTGCTGCTGCCACCGCCATAGGCGTCAAAGGACTTGCCGGTTGCGGCAGGGTTGGAACCCTGGCCTGTGGGGACCTGGTAGGCTTCGCGAGACATGGTGCCGGTTTTCGTGGGTTGTGTCTGAGCGGATGGCTGGTTTGTTGATCAAAAGGTCGTGATGGGAAGTTTTCTCTCTTCGATGCAAGGCTGTAGCGTGGGGCAGTCGCATGGATGACAATTCGCCGGGCGGTGAGGCTGGATGGTGGCAGAATTTTATGGTGAGTCGAAGGCGGTCAGCCGCCAACTGCCCAGGCCCACTTCCCGAGGTTCAATCGCCAAGATCTCGTACAGTTCCAGCTCCCAATTCACATGGACCACATGGACTTTATTTACCCTACGTCAATGTATTTAGACACGGAATCCGGTCTCTGACCATCAATCGACCGTGACACGACTTGCGGATAATGACCGAGCTGATCAGATATCTCGAAGACCCTCGTACCGACCACCCATCATGACGCCCGTATTCGACGTCGGCGTCGAGACGACGGACGCGAATTGCCCGTTTTGCGCCATTGCCGACACGTTTTCGCCGTATGACCCCCTCGAGCCGCCGTCAGATCACGAGATGGACCCGACGCGGACATCTCCCGCCTCCTTTGTCGTCCTCTCCACCGATACGCTCGTCGCCTTCCTTGACATTATGCCCTTATCGAGGGGTCACCTTTTGCTATGCCCGCGCGCGCATCGACCCAAGCTGACCGACGCCTCTGAGATTGAAGCTGCCGAGCTCGGAAGATTCCTACGAACACTATCCCGCGCGCTGGCGAGAGTCACCGGCGTCGAGGACTGGAACGTTGTGCAGAACAACGGCGCCGCCGCCGCCCAGGTCGTCATGCACATGCACTACCACTTGATTCCGCGGCCCGAGATTCGCGCGAGTGGCCGTTTCAGCGAGAGCTTCACAATGTTTGGCAGGGGAAGGAGGGAAGAGCTGGATGATGATGAGGCCGAGGCTCTTGCAAGAGACCTGCGTGAGGCGGTGGCTGAGGTGCTCAAAGAAGAGGCAGATGACAGACGGAAATCGAAGCTTTAAGTCTCTACAGCATCAAGGTGCCGACCATTTCTGCATTTTTATTCATTCTACATTTTTATTCATTCTACTTGTATTATTTTCATTCCTTGTCCCCCCGCTCCTGGTTTACTCGTCATCGCCGAAGAAGACCTTGATGGGCAGCCACGCGTCGCCGCACACCTTGAAGCGGTCGGGAATGCTCGACAGCTGCTTGATCTCGTCGCCGGTCAGCTCCCAGCCGTCGAGCTCATAGTTGGCGGCGATGCGCTCCTTGGAGACGGACTTGGGAATGACGCTGGTACCGCGGCTCAGACCCCACAGGAGGAGAACCTGCTGAGGCGTCTTGCCCTTGGCCTTGGCAATGTTCAGCAGCGTCTCGTTCTTGTACAGGGGCGAGTCGGTGCTTCCGAGGCATGAATACGCCGTCGAGTGGATGCCCTTGGATGCGTTGTACTCGAGGAGCTTCGGCGACGGGTTGCAAGGGTGGAGCTCAATCTGGTTGACCGCGGGGACGATCTTGCAGGAGGAGTCGTTGAGCAGGCGCTCGAGGTTCTTGATGCCAAAGTTGGACACGCCAATGTTGCGAACCTTGCCGGTGCCGACAAGCTTCTGCATCTCGCGCCACGTGTCGACAAAGTCCCAGTCAGGGTGGTGCTTCTTGAGGTCCTGGGGATCGGTCGAGGAAGGCCAGTGCATCAGGTAGAGGTCGACATAGTCGGTCTGAAGGCTCTCGAGCGAAGAAACAATGCCCTCTTGGACGCGCTTGTGCCAGGGGTTGTCGAGCTTGGTCGTCAGCCAAATTTCGGACCGGGGTACGCCCGACGCCTTGATGCCATCGCCGACCTCACGCTCGTTGCCGTAGGCGAGCGCCGTGTCAATGTGGCGGTAGCCCTGGCGAAGCGCGGCCTCGACGGCGTGCTTGACCTCGTTGGGCTTCGACTGCCATGTGCCAAGGCCGACAGCGGGTAGCTTGTCGCCTGTATTGAGGGTAAAGGTACGGCTGGTCTGCGTAGTGCCCGACATTTTGATGTACGTTCAAGTGTAGGTAAGAAGCCTTCAAAATCTGAAGCGAATAAGACAGGTCAAGCAAGCGTATCGTGTAAAAATATGAAAGAGCTCACATACTACCAAGGTAGAGCGAAGGGGGACTCTCGGCCTTAAGTAGGCTGCGAGAACACCCTCTCGCCGACCTGCCCCTCTGCGATAGTCCGTGTTCTCCATGTCTTCCCCCTCCTGATCCTCTCCAAAAGCCAGTCAACGCGACCCTTTGCCCCTCCATCGCGTCGGAGCGTCTTGGGTGATGCTGAAACTTTTGCCCCACATCCTTGCTGTATCTTGGGGCGGTAATGACGCAGGTCCTCCACATGTCGGGGCCAACGTCACGTCTATAGCCCAGCAAATGAGATGGCTCTTCAATGTGGGTTTGCAGAACCAGAACTCGGCAAAAGCAGAGTGAAATCGCCCGACCATGCTGCTTGGTGGGGGGCGGCTTGGTCCGGCACCAGCCGGCACGGTCTCTATTGGAGATGGATCGTAGAAGCGCACGTATCAGATTCCAAGCTACGCGTATCTGGCGAGAGATGTCCCGACAAGGCGGATGGGATGTTCTGGCAGCGATGAAAGTTGCAGAAGCGCGACTCGAACATTCCACGTTTCCACGTGTATGGTCAATCTTGGTCGGATCGACAAATGCAACGACAGATGCAACATCCGGACGAGAATCCCATGAGGGTCGATCTGGCGCCGAATCCAGATGCGGCAGACAGAGACCAGGGACGTTTCCGCTCGGCTGATCACTAGTCACTCATGGAGCAGCAAGAATAGGAAGTCGGCCAGACTCCGTCTCGATGAAATCGTAATTTTCAAGTTCAGAGATTCAAAGCCTGAAATGGTCGGAGTACCGTGCCAAGAGATTCTTGTTCCTGAAGGGACGAGATGTCGGCTGGGTCCACTGGTGGTGTCTGAGTGACATAACTACCCCGCCACATGCACTCAGTCTTAGCCACCTCAGGCAGGACAGGCAAGAGCTACCCCGCCATCAAGTGCTAAAGCTCCAGCGTCAAGAACGTGACATGTACAACGACACTTGCATCAACAAACATTCCGACAACCAGCTCTCAACGCACGCATCCTCAATCACGCCTCCATTATATCTTCTTTATTCTGAATCTTGGCTCGGACGCCTCGTCAACGCGACACAATGTCAAGCAAACGCATCTCCAAGGTCTGTTTGGCCCATATGTCCACTCTCCCTTGACAGCGACTGATTTGTTCTAGGAGCTCGGCGACTGCATGACGAACCCGCCCGATGGCATCTTGGTGGCCCTGAAGGACGAGTCGGACATTCACAACTGGAACGTCACCATGGCGGGCCCCAGCTCGAGCCCCTACGCCGGCGGTCACTTTGCCCTGGCCGTCAGCCTCCCCACCGACTACCCCTTCAAGTCGCCCACTGTCCGCTTCCTCACACGCATCTACCACCCCAACGTGACCAACGATGCAGATGGCAGCATTTGTCTGGCGACGCTCAAGTCGGAGAATTGGAAACCCTCGACAAAGATCACTGCCGTGCTCGAGGCTGTTCGTCAGTTGCTCATTGAGCCCCAGCCGGACGACCCTCTCGAAGCGCGCATCGCCGACGAGTACCGCAACAATAGGGAAGAGTACGAGAAGAATGCCAAGACGTATGTGACTCGGTACGCCAAGGGACCAGTGAGCTTCGACACCGCCCCCGAGTCAAAGTGAGCCCAGTTTGCCGGCTGTGGCGCTTGGCAGTCGGCCGCGCAGTGTTGTGGGTATGGCGTTACGGCCCGCCTTGCAGTGATAAGACATGCGGGCGGCGGGGTACACACGGCGTTTGCATCGGTTCGGACACGTAAGTTGATTTTGCTCTCAAGTCATGTATTATTCCAAGCGAGGCCCAACCATGAATACAAAGCGCTTTTCGTATACACACAAACAATCGTCGACCAGGGTATTATTTAGCCGCCATGACAAGGGGAATAAACTTATCATAGCCTCACTCCTCGTCACCACTCTTTGCCCTTCTCCTACTCCCCTTGCGGAGCCCATCGATACCGGATCGCACAGCCGCGAGGCCGTCGCCCGCAGCCTTCTCGCCACGCTCCTTGACAGCGTGCTTCTCAGCCTCGTCTTTGGCATCCTCAATCACGTTCTTGCCCACGCTCGTGCCGTGAGCCCAGTCCAGTAAACCCCACGCGCCGTAATTGCCGCGCCCTCCGCCGGCGTAGTGACCAGCCGTGCGCCGCGTGATGCCGCCCATCATGATCCCCGGGACCGTCGAGTACCCACTTGTCGCCAGCGTCTCTTCGAGCGTGCAGAGGCCGACAAAAAGGAAGTAGGTCAGGAGGTGGGGCCTCAGCACCAGAGATGGGAGGTAGAGAGGCAGCACACGGTGGACGAGAAAGGGGAGGGGGTGGTCGGCAAAGAGGAGCAGAGAGAATGGCGGCGCGCTGCGGTGGTGGGCGTGCTTCTTGTGGAGGGCGGCCAAAGTGTTGCGGCCGCGCGAAGGCGCGTGGAGGACCCTGGCGTGCAGATAGTACGTGATGAACTCACGGGCTGCGAGCAGAATGGTGATGTGTTTGACGAGCTGCCATGGGAACGGCAGGGTGCTCGAGGTTGTGAAAATGGGTGTCTGAAAGGCGGTGGTCCAGGCAATGCTGATGCCTGCTTCAAGGCCGACGGCAAGGGCAAGGTTAACAATGGACAGGCCGAGAGTGCGCGCCAAGAAGACCGGGTCCGTCGGGGGGAGAGCAGAGGTGCCCCCATACTTGAGAGACTCGGCAAGGGTAGGGATGAGCGTGTCGAAGAGGAGGAACACCAGCGAGGGGAGGAGCCAGAAGACGAGGCGCAAAGCCAAGGTGCCCATGAGCTCAATTTTGAGGGCGCTGTGCGATAGAACGAGGGTTGTCCAGGTCATGTAGAAGAACAGTAGGTTGAGGGAGGTTGACCATGAAGTTACGGACGGCGCGAGAAAGTACGAAATAATGGGCAGGGACATGAGGAGGTCCATGATGGGCCAAAAGACACGCAAGATGCGTCGTGTTTGGTGTGGTTGATTTTACTTTGCGGTGTGTCAATTCAGGACGGACTCTTTCTCCACGGCGTGGTGATGGAAGGTTCAGACTAAGAACAGCTTCGACATGTCAGCCTCGGGCAATACCATGACGTTCCGATTCCCTGATCTTGGCAGCAATGTGAGGGCCAGAGAAGGATGACGTCGGTGGTGCTTCCGGCTCGGTGAGGCTCGGTGTGATGCCCAATGGAAACCAGGGTCTGACCACCTTGGCGAGCCGACAAGCACATGTCTCTCAGTTCCCACAGCACAAGATCAAACTGCATGATTGTCCCAAGATGGCATGAATCCAGACGAGAGCCGTGATTGAAGGGCCGCTGGCGACTCATGACGGTTCCATGGGTCTTCTCCAGCTCTCCAGCCGCGCACCACCGGGCCCGGCTTTCATCTCAACTCCTCAACCCATCCTTCACGCTCGCACACGGCAGTAGACTAGGTCTGGGGGAGTCTCCATCTTTAATGTTTTCCCGTCACGTTGATCGTGTCCGAGCACCAGGAACAAGTAGACGCACAAAAATGGAGCGTAGCGTCCAGCGTCCAGGGGTAATCTCCAGATCCCTGCGTCTGGTCAATGAGACAGGCCTAATGGCGGGCCCGAGCTATGCCTTGTTGAGAGGTCTAAGCGGGATTGAGTCGCCTGAAGAAGACTTGCGCACGCTGGCATCGTGAGAGAGACATCGTGAAGACAGACTCGTTGCCGGCTGCAACGACGTCTCGAACACCGACGGTAACGAGGATAGTGACAGACCATCGGAGCATGTCCCGTATAGAAAGCTTTCGATTAAGTGAAACCAAACAAGAGTGCGCCCACCCGCCAGAAGTAGCATAGATGGCGCTGCACCCAACGAGGAGGCCGCCATGCTGGCCTCCCGAATGGTAGGGTTACAATTAATTACAGCATCCGCTAATAGGGGCCCCGGTGACCCGACCAGGCTGCACAAATGCATGCGCCTTGGGGGGTTCCTGCACCTTCTGATGAGAAGCAGGTGCTTCTCTGCCTGCGCCTGCCAATCGACGAGGTCCCGTTCCTGGGATTGTCCCTCTCGAAGAATGGCCCTTGTTCCCATCCTGAGCAAAGCTTCTTCAACAATACATCCATCCGCGTCTGCCATCCATCTGTCTCTCCCCTCTGCTTTTTTTTTTCTTCTTCTTCGGTTCGTCCGCTGCGGCTGTGCGTGGCTCGAGCTCTCTGATCACGGCCTTTACTGCCCTCACCACCAGATCCAGCATTTTCGCCTCCCCTTAAAACAGAACCATCTCGGTGGCCACCGAACCCTCCCCCCTCCACCCCCTCGGAGTCTGCGCGCGCCCGGTCCTCGTCTGAACGTGCGACGCCAATTCTCTGCAGCTAGCACGAACAAAGGCGGCCACCAGAACTGCTACGCTGCTGCACTCCATCTGCACTCTGCAGGATCCCTACGCCCCCCTCCTGCGTGTTGTCTGTTCCTGCCGCCGTCTGAGGAACAACCCGCTGCATGACCAGAGACACCCACCGTCGGGCTCGTCCACCGAGACCAGCCTAATAAGACAAGCGGATCAACTGTGTCGCTTCAGATCGGCTCCTGCCCTCCGGCTGTTGCCGCTGTCGCCGTCGCCGTCGCTGCCGCTGCCAACGCTTGCTTCTGCTGCCATGTCTGACCTAAGGGACGCCGCTCCCCCCCCTATCCCTCAGCGTACCCGCCATCTCCACGTCCATCGCCATCGCGACCACGGCACCACCACCCCTCCGCCCCCGGGCACCACCACCAGCAGCAACAATAACAATCATACCGCCGCCTCCGACACGTATGTACGTCGCCGCTCGCTGCAGGGTCCTGCTCAGCCTGCCTCGCCTGAAGTCATCTCCTCTCTCATCACGAGCCTCTCCGTCATTTCCAAACCCGCCGACCGACACTTTGAGTCTCCGAAGCTGACCAGCCTCTCTCTCCCTTCCTCGCCCCGTCACGGCAGTCTCGTCAGCAACGGCAGCTTCGGCGTCGACTACGGCGCCTTCTCACAGCCCTCCCTAGGTGATCTTCGAGAGGAGACGGTATCCCTCGACGAGCTCGCCGCCAGCTCGCCCGTCATCCGAACCGCCAAACCGCCCTCCGGCTTCTCCCCACTCACCGCACCAAAGTCCCCCTCACGCGACTCTAGCGGCGGTTTCAAGTCCATCCTGCGAAACAGCTCACGCCCCTCCTCCCGGAGTTCCCTCGGTTCCCGCGATGATACCCAGAGCATAGGCAACCTCTCTGTCGAACGTGGTGTTGCCCCTGCCTCCGACTCGACCCGGAGCCGCTCCCGATCGCGTGACAGCTGGGGACGGAAACAGGGTAGGAGCCACAAAGGTCTCATGTACATGAGCTCCAAAGAGCGACTGCGAGAGAAAGAATACGAGAGAAAGCGCCTCAGCGGTGCTGCTCCTGCTAGCCGCGCCTCCTTTGACGATACCCCCTTGAGTACCGGCCTATCGCCTCGACCCGATCCCTTTCTCGCCGAGACACCCATCAGCGAGGAGCCACCGATACATTACGACCCGCCCACGAGGGAGCCTCCGCCACGGCCTGACCACGCACCCACGATGGACCCCCTACCAAGCCCGCGGCCCATCCCGACGCGGGACTCATCGCTACGCAAGACAGGACCCAACGCCAAGAGGTCTTCTGTCCGGAACTCCCGGTCGAAGCGAGACGGAGAGAGCAGCGCGATACCCGAGGATGACGAAGCTCGCAACAGCAACAGGCATTTGAAGGACCAGTCCTGGTATAACGAAGATGGAGAGTCGAGCAAGAAATCGGCCGACCTCGGCCGTAGCTCGCAGCGGTCGTCCGCAAACATGACCGCCACGGGGAACAGCCGTGCGGATGAGATTCACGTCACGAGTCCGCAGCCTCAGGACGATCTCGAGGACGGCGCGCCATTCCCTGCCGTCGCCCAAGGGCGGCGCCGTGACGAGCATAGCACAGACCGCAGCAGGAGGAAATCTGGCCGGCAGACGCCCGACGTCAACGAGGCCGTCCGATTAAAGCGCAGCAGCTCCAGGCTCAAGCGTCTATCGGCTCCCTTGAGTCCGCGATCAGAGGGCGGAAGCGGACGCAGCGACATTGCCTCGCCCGAGCCCGTAAATGCCATGCCTTCAGGGTACGAGCGCCCTCGAAGTGCTGACTCTGTCGACGATGCCGTCGAGTCCTACCTGTGCTCGCCGCGGTTGTCTCAGAAGATCAGGCATCCTCAGACTGGCCGTGTCATATCCTTTTCGGAAGTCGGCGACTCGGAGGGCTCGGCTGTGTTCTGTTGCGTCGGCATGGGCTTGACACGATACATCACAGCCTTTTACGACGAGCTGGCGCTGACACTCAAACTCCGCCTCATCACGCCCGACCGACCCGGCGTCGGTGACAGCGAGGCCTACGCAGACGGCACGGCGACGCCGCTCAGCTGGCCAGGTGCGTCTTCTCGTGATTGCCGTTCTACGGCTGCTAACATTGTGTACAGACGACGTCTACGCCATCTGCCAAGCCCTCAAGATTACCAAATTCTCCATCCTTGCCCATTCTGCCGGGGCCATCTATGCGCTGGCGACGGCCCTCCGCATGCCCCAGCACATCCGCGGTCGCATCCACCTCCTTGCGCCCTGGATCCCTCCTTCGCAGATGAATGTATTTGGCACATCGCAGACGCTGCCGCCCACCAACGCCATTCCTACTTCACAACGCATCCTCCGTGCTCTGCCGACACCGTTTTTGAAAGCCGCCAACAGCTCATTCATGTCGGCCACGAGCAGCTCCATCACGAGCTCACTACCCAAGAACTCGAATCGCCGAAGCAAACGCAAGTCAACCAACACGACCGGCCGCGATACGCCAGCGGCGCGGCGCGATATCACGCCGAGCATGGACAAGGAAAACCTCGGCCAGACCGGCTATGGCAAGGGCGGCATTGACATGGAATCTTCATTGGGACCCGAGAGCATGGACCGTCTACGCGCACCGCCTTCGGGTCAGTACGGAGCCGGCTCGTCAGCTCCCTTGGATCCCGAGAGCGCCATGCTGGCCGCCGCCGCAGACGCCATGGCAGACAAGGAACGCCAGCTCACATACGACACGAGGTTGACGCATGCCATTTGGGATCTCGCAACAACAGGCGCCAATCCGGCCGTGGACCTTCTCGTCTGCCTCGAACGGAGGCACACAATCGGCTTCCGCTACGTGGATATTACGCGACCTGTTGTCATCCACCATGGCAGCCGGGATACGCGCGTTCCTGTCGACAACGTTAAGTGGCTGGGCAAAACTATGCGGCGATGTGAGGTACGCGTGCTTGAAGGCGAAGGCCACGGCCTGATGGCGAGTGCCGGTGTCATGGGTTCGGTGCTCATGGAAATTAGCAAGGAGTGGGATGACTGGATGAAGGTGACTGGGAACGGGGGCAAGAAGGAGGAGAGGGGCCGTCGAGGGACACTCGGAAGGTCATAGATCTGAGATCGGCGTTGCGTGGTGATATCGGCTCCATTTGGGGAGCCCGAGACGAGAGGGTGTTGGCTGTCACGACTTGTATCATTATCAGGCAGCATTGAGGATCACAGCGGGTGATCTACCACTGCGACTACATTCAGTAAAGTAATGTGTTAATCTTATGCAGAGTTGCAGTGTGGTCCCATGACTGAAATTTGTGCTTGATACTTGATCATCGTGGCTGAATGAATACCTCGTTGGTTTTTTGGTCTTCAACTTCGTCGATCATAATGGCGTTTTTCTACCAAATCTTCGTTCCCAGCCGCCAGCATGTTGACCTTCGACCTATTAATATGTAAACTTTATGCGCAAGATCATGGATATTTCATTTGCATAGCATCGGCATGCAAACGACACTCTCGCAAGCTGGCGGCTGTCTAGAAAGGATTCCCACTATCAGCTTCTGTTCGCTTGAAGCTCGACTAAAGTCCCGGCGCCTTGTCGCGGCGTCCATATTTGACCACTCGAATTCACAAACATCGCCGTCGTTGCAAGGCATATATATTGCTTAAAACGAATGCCAATGAAAATAGGACCATTGAGAAGAAGAGCGTTTGCCTTGCGACGCAGTTTGTGATGCCGAGTCTGTTTCAATACGTACCGTCATTCGTCGTCATCACAAGATATTCGACCGCTACTGAGTCAATTCTGTAAAATCTCAGGTAGCGTTTCGCGAGAAATTCAGTCCAAGGTGTACTCGGGAGGTCATCTTGCTCATCCTGTTCGTGAAAGACACCTATTGTGTACGGCTCGGCCAGCAATGCGAGGCGCGTACATCGTCTGCGAGGCGTGCATGAACCACAAGAAGCATCCTCTCAACAGGCGACAAGCTTCCACCGACAGACTTCACTCCGAGTCCAGTCCTGAATCAGTAGGCGACCATCACAGCTTCCATGATGCTTCTGCCTCGGTCGTCTGCACTGACTGCAAAGCAGCACTGAGCCGCAGCCGAGGCCAGGCGCCTGCGGGCTCGGATGGAGGCGCGTGGGTCGGAGAATGGCCCGCAGGTCAGGCGAGATGCTACGATTGGAGAGACGAGCGAAAGGGGCAACGACGCGACTGCAGGTCGACGATGGGATCGGCCAGATCCTCACGGATGCATCGTCACGTCTCGCACGATTGAAAGGGTCACGGCCTAAAGAGGCGGTACATCATGGGATTGCCAGGATGCGAATGCAACGGAGCGTAGGGATGTTTGTTGGGAGCTAGCTAAACAGAATCACTTGCGCCGGATAACCTTCCGCATGCACCCCAACGCCTCAAGGGGAAACGAAAAGAAGCATGCAGCCTCGCGGGCAAGCAATGCGCGCGCATCACTCCTTGTCATCGCCATCTGCCGCGACGGCCTTGGCGTCGCCGTTAGCCTCGGGAGCAGCATCGGTCGCTTTGACCGTCTTGTCAGGCACATCGGCAGCGGCCTCCTTGATGCCGTTCAATGCATCGTCGGCATCGGCCTCCTCGTCTTCGGCGTCGCCCTCCTCCTCCTCCTCAGCATCCTCATCCTTCTCAACAGCATCTGTCTTTTGCCGTTTGGCAGGTGGGGCTTGATGTGGTCAGCAGAGAAAGAAAGCACGGGCTAGGGAAGACTTACCATCGGCGCCGTTCTTTGTTTCGGGTTCATCCTCTTCGCCCTCGGGATCTTCGTCATCCTCCTCCTCCTCCTCTTCCTCCTCCTCGGACCCTTCACCGCCTCCGGCTTCGTCGTCGGTACTCTGGTACCTGGTATGGTCAGTAAGGATTTCAAGCATGCGCCATGGTTGGACCTCGAAGGCATGTCTGGCGCAGAATGAAAAGTTCGTAGCAGCTTCGCAAAGCCTGGCGCAAACATGGAGATTTTGCGCAGACGGATAACCAAAGCCGAACACAACGGGCTCAGGGGACCGGGCTGGTAGGTGACTTACTCTTCCTCCTCCTCGCCATCGTCATCTTCAGGGAGGGAAACGAGCTCCTCCTCCTCCTCCTGCTTTCTCTTACGGGTGGACATTGTGTCTATCGAGTTTGTAGGGTTTCAATTGATGGGAAAGTCTCAGGGTGGGCGAGCACAAGGTGGGCAGATCGAGGTATAGTAGAAGAGAAGAAAGAAGAGAAGGAAAGCTGGAGGAGGGGAAGAGGAGGTAATGGGGGAGGGAGGGGGATGGCCGGCGGTGGCAGCGAGAGCAGAACAGGCTGTTGCGTTGCTGACGGGACGGGGAGCTCTCTGGAGCAGGAACAGGAGCAGCTCCAGCTGGACCTGGGGGGACTGGAACGACCAGAGCTGGGGGAGCTGCCGGACTTGTCGCACCCACCGAAGGCGCGGATGGACGGGAGAGCGGGTGGGCAAAGAGAGCCCAGCCAGGCACCGGTACGGGTACTTTGCGGCAACAGGTCCCTCACGCAAACAGCTTTGGTACGTCAGCCCGGAAGAGGTACATCGCTCCCGGTACTGGCGCTGGCCGTCGAGGGGAGGCTGGGGGAGAGAGGGAGGGGGGCACCTCAGTCGGCTTGGAGCTTCGAGTGAGCTCCCCCCCTCTCGCGCAATGGATCTGGGCAGACGGACAAAGCTGGAGCAAGGGCCCGAGGAGGAGTGACAGGATTGGCCGATCTGGTTGGTCAGACCAAGGAGCTCGGTCCTCCACTACACACCGTCACCATCCCTGTGCAGGCCACGAGCGACTGCGTCTTGCACAGAGAGAGCGTACTTGGTATGTCCTGGTGGGCGCCAGGCGACGTTCTCATGGCGGCCATGGTGGCTTCTGTTGTCTTCCGAGTCACCAGTCGGTCCATTCCCGGTTGATGATCGAACCTGTGGAAACCAATGGCCGCCATCCAGTTCGGTTCGGCGTGAGCCTGCGGCGTGCGCCCACGTCCTGCGCCCACGACCTGCGACTTTGGTTCGCAGCAGAAGGGCTTTTCACTCTGGCTGCTGATCAGCACGCTATAGGCCAAACGAAGCTGGTACTTACGCTGCTCTGGTGGGCGGCAGGAAGAGCAGCCTGGAGACTTGGGCAACGTCATCAAGGTCCGTGGCAATGACCCGCCTGGGCTCCCGCGTCCGTTTTCGTCTTTCGTCATTCTTGCGTCGATTCGATCGCTAGTCACGTGAGCGAACTGTTATCCGGAGATTCTCCATACGGATGGCTGACTGATCGAGTCGGGGGGTCCAAGCTTTGGCGACTGAATTGTGGTCGATGGAATGACGCTTGTGTGAGTTAGGCTTTCCGACCCTGGCCTGCTGTTCGGAGTGACCGCAGAGAAGATGCGAATTTCCGGGTGGCCTCCCTGGCTAGGTAACCTGGTGGAGGGGCTTTCGAACAAAGGCGCTCGAATATCCGGAGGGGGGCCGTGAGACAGGTTTGTTTTGATCGTGAGATGAGGTGTCGAGTGGTAGAATGAATGGGGCCTTTTCATAATTGCATTACTATGCGTCACGGCTGTCTCCGCAGACCATGCCGCCTAGAACGAGGGCCACTTCTCGATGCTGACCCCGAATTGCTCGCTTACACGTGACATGTCGCCGTTCAGAGCACTTGTGCTGCCAGGAAAGCCCAGTCGCGAGAGCTTGCGATGCAGGGAGGTGGTCGCCGGCGGTCGACGCAGGGCACAGGGTGTCAAGGTTGGTGCCCGCAGGCTAGTTGCAATAGCGCGGCGGCGTGGAATGCAATTGGGAAGCCTGGGGAAGCCTCGATGATATCGACGGACTCGTGAATGACAGCTGCCACGCACAGGGCGACACCTTTTTTCTGGTTGAGATCATCGTCAACACCTAAAGCTGAAACAACTGATGCGAGACGACCGCACGTCATGAACCCTTTTGATTTCAGTCGTGCCAACGCGCTGGAGATTCTGCCGGGCCAGATGATGTGACACGTCAGGTAGACTGGCGGAGGTGCCATCCCGTTAACCGGCCGGCCATCGATCCCTTCCTGGTTGGGGTAGCATTTCGTGGGCAGGCCAGGGTGGGCGGACCTCATCAGAGTTGACTCGCGAGCATTGTCGGATAGAGAGGTTGAGCTCGTCCCTTGGTTGCTGGGTGGTATTTGGGCTTTGGAAAACATGGACGACGCGTCGTTGCAGTGCCCAACTAGCGAGGTCCAAGTTGCATCGGCCTTGGCTCCTTCTCTCTCTGCATCTTTGTCGGGCATTGGGCGTTCGAGGAGGAATGGGGAGGGGGACGAGGAAGGAAGCATGCATGCACTTCGGGAGCGCCTGCATTGGCGGATTGTACTATGAGTTAGGGGAGGCAATAGGGAAACAGGCAGCTGGGAGAGCGCCGGGCGAAACCCACCGCAAAGGAAGGCGCCCTCCTCAGTAAACAAAACAACTGTCGCGATCTCCCGGAAACAAATCAATACCAAGGCACGCGGCTGGCCCCATAAACTGGAGTCTGGTAGATTTTCGTCTCATGCGAGAAAGACTTTAACATTCGCCCGCTCGGTCACCAGCCCGTGAACCGCTGCCACAAAAGACGAGATTGCGACCCGGGTGCCAGCAATAAGGGAACCATCCCTAAATGGGCATGGTTCAGGCACCAAAACGCCTTGAATGGTACGGCCCCCCTGGCGGTCCCAGCGGCGCGGACAGCGGCCGGGGCCCGAGCCACCTGTGGGCTTTTCACGATGGGTGTGAGAGAGCGGCTGGGTGACCTGTGAGAAAATGCCCTTGTGGCTGGCTTCAGGCTGCCCTTGGGCGCGTCACCAGGAGGCTCCAGGGCTCCAAGCACTGGAAATGGAAGTGCAGGCAACGCAATCTCCACAGGGCACCCCACCTAACCGTTAGACTAGGGGTCGAGTTACGCTGCAGGGGCATTTGCCTGGATGGAATGATCTGTGACAAAAGGAAGGAAGAAGGGGGGGGGGGACCTGACCGGGGCGAACTGGCCAGGTGCACCCGCCGGGAGTGATGAAATTTCCATTCGATACTCATCTCCCATGAGCAGGAAGGAAGCAAGGACGGGCACGATCTGACAGGCAGGTACGGTAATAGGGTCTGGGATGGGCAGCGACATCATTGCTTCCCATGTTCCCATCCTTTTTTTCATCAGTCCAACGACCTGCTGCCGTACTTGTTTCCACCCGCACCTCTCCGTCCGTTCCCTCAAACAAAACGCAATCGCGACTCACTCGCCATTCCAGTGCTTCCTTTTCGTCTGTACCTTTTCCCTCTTCAGCTCGATCGCTGCATCTAATGACACCGTCTCCTTCGCCACACACGATTTATCAACCTCAGCTGTCAGACACGCACAAGCCCAGAACCTGACCTTGTCCACCTACCACATTGATCACCGTCGTGGCAGAGGCTTCGAGCTCAGACATCCGTCGAGAGCCTAACCTTCTTAGCCAGCGCCGGCCGACCTCGAACCTCCACTGGCCGCCGCTTGACGCACTTTTGCTTCTCAGACACGCAGCGACCTGACTCTCGATTCGTGCCGCGCCGTTTCAACGAGGGCCACCACCATCAACATCCATTTTCTTTTCGGACACCACCTTTTTTTTTTCTCCTTTCGAGCGACCTGGCCCGTCTTCCTGTTGCTCTCCTGCTTCGATCGAGCCCTTCGAATTCCCTCTCGCCCTCGGGGAATCACGACACTGAGCTCTTATTGTGCTGCGCCAGATGCTGTGACCGATCTAGCCTCGCCTGAGCCCACATTGTGCACCGTACCAATCTGCAAGGGAAACGCTGCAATCAACAACCGAGGCGGACTCGCTTGCGCCAGAGTATCGACCAGCCCTCGGCAGAGAGATCTCTCTGTGTCAATGTCCACTTGGACGACTTGCTACATGTGCCGCCATGCTGCACACGTTCCTGACAACCACACCTGTTTCGCTGCCGCCTGTATGAGCCAGATGTAACTGACTCTGTTCCGCGCCCACCCCATCGTCCCACCCCCGGTCCCACGTCCCGTGGCGATCATTCTGGTTTCATACCCCAACAGGCGAGCCCGTCAACACCACGACGAGCCAAAAAAGAAATCATACAACCCCATCGACGCGTCCGAGCCCTCCCCCCGGCCGTGCATTCCTTAGAGAGACCCAGCTCCCCCTCCACCCTCTCTCTCTCTCTTTTTCGCGTCCGCCGCTGCCATATCAACGCCTGGGTCCGTCCGTCATGACTCCCACGGCTGTGGCAGCGGATTCTCGCGAGTTCGACCACCACGATCAACACCGCGACCACGGCGTCGCCACCGACGGCGACATGGACCCTTCTGTCGAACGCCAGAAGAGCGTCAAGAACCGCCAATTCAATATTTATGCTTCTCGAGCTCGCAGTCCGAGCCCCGGCGCCCACCACAACCCGAAACCCAATCCACCAACCTCTGACAAGTACGAATCCGAGCACCCCTCGCCAGACGAAGCTCCCCAGCTGCCTCCCCTTCCGATCTCCCCCAGGTGGGACTCACTCGCCAACAACAATAGCAGTTTTTTCCTGCAAAAATCAAACACTGCTCTCGCCGTGTCACCACCAGATCCCCCGCCTTCCGATTCCCTTGCCGAACGGCTCGAGTCCGGCCGCCACACGCCAACCAATGACTTTACCCACCAGCCGCTAGTTTCTCCAATCTCTGAGCCCGAGCCACGAATCTCGACAGACACCGTGCAGAGCCAGAACTTTTCTCGTCCGAGGAAACTCAGTCTCAAACAACCGACCCTCGACTCGGCCAAACCCCGACAAACGCTCTTCCCTTCACCATTCGCCCCTCCGCCCGACCTTCTGCCCGAGCTCGCCTCTCCCCGCGACGGGCGTTCCAGAGGCCAGTCCAACGCCTCCACAAAAACCTCGTCCACCTTTTCGTCCGTTCCCCTACCTCCTGGCAGCGATATCTACGACCCCGGCCGCTCGAGACTGCGGCATGCCACGACGGCCCCGGCGGCAGTGAGGCCCGCTCCATCCTTTACCCAAAACCGCATCGACAGCGTGGGATCCGGCTACACCCGCGACATGGCCCCGTGGATCAGCGCTGACGAGTCAAGATCAAGTTACAGATCCCAACTGACAGCATCAAGCGCCCAGGGCACCTGGATGACGGAGAGGAGCAGCATCCTGACACGAGACAGCTCCGTACCATCCGTGTACGCAGGCCCTGACGAGCCCAGCCTCGAGGACGTCATGGGCATGTACGAAAAGGGTTTTCACGACGACTCGAGCCCAGAAGACGTTGACGATATGCATTTTCACGACAAGAGAAACGACGGGGCCATGAACAGGAGGAACACACGGATCCTCGAGGCTCTTGAGAAGTCGTTGCCCGCGCCCCCGACATCGGGTCTCGGGATGGGCCCCCTGGTCCGGGAATCGACCGAGATGTTCCGCGGCGAGGAGCCGCCGCTTGCTCTGCCCAAATCATCGACATTTGGGGACTTTAACAAGCGACACGAGAACGAGAAGCGGGACTCAGCCAAGTCTCTTCACGAGTCGCCACCCTCACGGCAGAGCCCAGTCCCGATTGAACATGAAGATCCCGAGTCCAGGGACAGATATGGCTTCCGCAAAGCCAACCAGTACGTCACGCGAGAGCAGTACGACACGTGGAACACGGGCTACGTCGAGTACCTCGCCCGCCGACGGAAGAAGTGGGTTGCCTACCACAAAGAGATGGGTCTGTTGACGGACAAACCCGATCGGTTCCCTCCACCCGCGAGCACCAAGACGAAACGATTTGTCCGCAAGGGCATCCCACCCGACTGGCGAGGCGCCGCCTGGTTCTATTACGCCGGGGGGCCTGCCATCTTGGCCGAGTATTCTGGCGTCTACGACGAGCTTCTTACGAAGCAGGTCAGCGCTGTCGATGCCGAGGCCATCGAGCGTGATCTCCACCGCACTTTCCCCGACAATATCAAGTTTAAGCCCAACAATCTCTCGAACAACACGGACTCATCGCGAAGCAGCAACCAGACAACATCGGAAACGGCTTCGAGCGGCGGCGAGGACGGCGAGCCGCGCATGATTTCCTCTCTGCGGCGGGTCCTCCGCGCTTTTGCCATTCAGAACCCTCTCATCGGATACTGCCAGAGCCTCAACTTTTTGGCCGGCTTGCTGCTGCTGTTTCTCGAGACGGAGGAGCAAGCCTTCTGGCTGTTGAACGTCATCACGCGGGTATACCTTCCCGGCACGCATGCAATGAGCCTCGAGGGCTCCAAAGTGGATCTCGGCGTGCTCATGGGCGCCATCCGCGAGTCCATGCCGGCGGTCTGGGCCAAGATTGGCGATGAGATGGACGGAGACCCAAACGAGTCGCGGCCGACGACGAGTGGAGCTTCAGCCGCGAAGAAGGCCAGGTCGAGGCGCAAGCACATGGCCAACAAGTCCGTCTCGACAGACAGGCTGCCGCCCATCACGCTGTGCATGACGGCATGGTTCATGAGCTGCTTCATCGGGACGCTACCGATCGAGACGACGCTGCGGGTATGGGATGTCTTCTTTCTCGAGAGCTCCAAGACACTCTTTCGCGTGGCTTTGACCATTTTCAAGCTCGGCGAGGCGGAGATCAAGGCCATTGCCGATCCGATGGAGATGTTTTCTGTGGTGCAGGCGATGCCGCGACGGCTCATTGACGCCAACGCACTTATGGAATCTTGCTACAAGCGACGCAACGCCTTTGGACATCTCAACCAGGAAACCATTGACGCGTTGCGACAGGAGAGGCGGGACAAGACGCAGCTTGACCGGGACAAGCTGGCGGGCCACGTTACGGACGGCGAATCAAAGGTGCGACGCAAGAATACGCTTTTTGGGCGGCGACCCAAGCGGGACGCAAGCGCATAGGCTTGCTTTGCCGAGTGGAACAAGACATGTAATGAACGCTACGGCATAGAGACGACTCGTTTGCATACGATGGCATGGTGTTTTGGTGTTGCATTTAAGCCCGGAGGAGGGAACGGGGCGGGAAAAGGATGCATCTTGTTTCTTTTGTCTTTTCAGGTCATGGGTCAGGTGTCACATGGTCACGCCCGATAGATACGCAACTGGTAGCATTTGCAAATGACATGAGGTTTGCCGTGGCCGCTGTTTCGCCTCCTCTTGTCTGGGATCTGCAACAAGCTCGCTTTCGTTTGTCCACCCGGAAAGGCCGGAGCCGCGCCCCGGAGTTAGCATCGGACAATGCAGGCAACCCACCAGCAGCACACGACGACCCGGACGGCAAGAGGGACCCGACTGGCAGTCAGGCACTGCACTGCTTATTGTCCGGTCGCTGCTGCGCCTCCCATGTGGGTTTCGCGGTGGGAGTTCTCCGAGGACGTGTGCGTGCCTTGCGTGCCTACGCCTGCCTGCCTACCTTACCTTACCTAGGTACCTTACCTAGGTACCTACCTAGGTACCTACGTACGTCGAGACTGACTGAGCCGCAGCGGAAGGTACGTAACTTCAGTAAGCACGCTCGACGACGTCCCAATCTTTGTCTGTCCACACCTCGTTCGTCTCCCGTCATTCCACACTTCGAGGCATTTATTTACTGGAGGCATTGACATCTCCATCGCCGTGTTTTCTTCTCAGTTGGGCAGCGTTGCAGCACTCATCATTGGCCTGCCTTGGTGGTACTCGTCATCTACGTCAGCATTCAGCCTCAAATCGACCAGGCTAGACATTGTCCGCTCGAAAGGGCAGCTACCAGACAGTACTTAGTCTCTCGTCACCGGCTCCTCAATCCTCGACTGTATCGAATGCCAATTGAAGCTGCTCACTGGCGTGATTCACGCCTTCCGGCTCTTTTTCACCTCTTTCTTTTCTCTCACGGCTCCTCGGCACGCCACCCACCACCATGAGCAGGCTGACCTCGTGGTTCCGGCCCTCGGGTGCGGCAACACCAAACAGCACCCCCGATGGCGCCTCAAACCCCAGCACAGACCAGGATGTCGAAAAGATGTTTCGTGCGACGGACAAGATGCTCATCATGGAGGATGCTCTCGCCGCGGCAGGTCTCATGATGAACGATGACATTGACGGTGCCGTCGAGGCTCTCGGCAAGAATGACTCGGTATTTCACCTGCTCGGTCTCGGCGTCACGCGTTTCATGCGATCGGTGCTCGGCTTTGAAAAGGACGTCATGGCCGAGGCGTCCTCGACCCTCGCCGAGTGCGAGACGCGCGCCTGGAGCGACATGAAGACGGCCCAGCGCAAGGCTGAGAAGCACAGCACCGTCTACCCGCCCGGGACAGAGTACTCACTCGTCGTCGCGCAGAGCCAGCTCATGTCGGCCGTCGTGTCCGTGCTGCACGAGAGCTTGACGGAGGGCCTCAAAGGTTTCTACAAGCTGAGGAAGGCCTACGTCAGTCTCGACGCCATCATCCAGGCCGAGGACAAGGTTCTGGGGACTTCAACGCGCCAAGTGCCTCCTCTGGAGAAGACGGCCACCAACGAGCACATGCCCGGCAGCTTTGACGATGACGAGTTTGTCGATCTGGGCGCTGCCGCCGACGACAGTGACGAGTTTGTCGACGCCAAGGAGACGCCGGGGCAGTCTGGTGCGCAGACGCCGGCGGACCTCGAGAGGGACTTGCAGAAGCTCCAAGTGCAGGATGGCAAGACACAAGCCCCGGTCACGAAGCCTCTGGACAGGCCCTTGCAAGACGAGTCTTTAGAAAAGCTTCCTCGGGACGATAAATCGCAGACGACCACCCCGGACGCCGGCGACGCTGCCCTCCTGACGAATCCTCTCGACATTTTTATTCACTCGGGCGCCAGCATGTGCTTTGGCCTGCTCCTCATCATTCTCAGCATGGTACCCCCGGCAATGTCCCGTCTGCTTTCCATCATTGGCTTCCGTGGCGACCGTGCCCGTGGCGTGCGTATGCTTTGGAGCGCCACCCGCTTCCGCAACGTCAACGGCGCCGTCTCGGGCCTCGTGCTGCTTGGCTACTACAACGGCCTGCTCGGACAAGCCGATATCCTGCCTTCAGCCTCTGATGGGGCGTTTTTCAAGGGCAAGAGCGATGGCCGCGAAAAGGACGTCATTGGGATTCCCCGCGAGAGGTGTGCCGATTTGCTCGCCGACATGCGCATCCGCTATCCCGAGTCTCGACTGTGGCGGCTGGAGGAGGCGCGCGGCCTCTCGCAAGATCGCCGTTTGCGCGAGGCCCTCAAGGTGCTGTCGACGGGAGAGGAGGCCAAGATGCGCCAAGTCGCTGCGTTGAACGCCTTTGAGATGGGCCTCACCGCCCTGTTTGCCGGTGACTGGGTGCTCACGCGCGACACCTTTCTGCGATGCCTCGAGCTCAACGACTGGAGCCACTGCCTCTACTACTACATTGCCGGATGTGCCGAGCTCGAAAGATACCGTGACGCCGTCCATGAAGGAAACGACGAGCATGAGATTCGCCGCCGCAAGAAGAAGACGGAGGAGCTGTGGCGCAAGGCCCCCTCGGTGGCCGGCCGCAAGAAGTTCATGGCCAAGCCGCTGCCGTTTGACCTCTTTGTCCAGCGCAAAGTCGCCAAGCTGGAAGAGCGCGCCAAGGAGATGGGTGCCGATCTCGCCGACGCCGCTGCCAGCAGTCCCGCCTGGGAAATGGCCGCGCTGTGGTGCGGTATGAAGAGGATGAATCACGAGGAGCTGCGGCAGGCCGTGGCAGGCCTCGCTTGGGAGAGGTGCACCGCGAGCGAGGCTGGACTTGCCACGTTGAAAGAGACGCCGGATGAAGTCGCCGTGCGCGCCGTGACGCTCGCTGGTGCGCTGCGATCTCTGGGCCGGCTTGACGAGGCGAGGGCGCTGCTCAAGGCGGATGCCCTGTCGCAGGACCGGTAAGTTGTGTTTTGCTTCTTGTTGAACGTTTACTGACCGGCCGGTAAAGGAACCTCGTCAAGGGACCCCTCAAGGACGACTATGCGCTGCCCGGGGCACACTATGAGCTCGCCGTCATCGCGTGGCTCGAAGCCTGCCAGGGTGATGCGGCTGCCGCGGAGGCCGAAGAGAGGGCGCGTCGGACCGCCAAGGTTAAGGAGTGTCAGGAACATCTCGACGTCGTCATTGCGTGGGAGGCCTTTGTCTTTGATGCGCGCCTGGGCATGCGGGTGCAGACAGGGCTCGAGACGCTCAAGTGGTTCCGCGAGAGGATGGGATAGCGTTCAGCAAGCAACAAGGGAGCATGGGAAAAGGATCAAAATAAGTCAGCTGACCAGGCCGAAGCCTGGATGTGGGCGTTTGCAGCCCGGGTATCTACCGTACAATCCTACGTAACGCCGCGTCCGTCTAACGAGCACATCCAGCGGGGCAATCCACGACCTTTTTTTTTTTTTTTTTTCTTTTTTTTTGGTGTGTTACTCGTCATTCTCCGGCTGGTCGTATTCGTCGTCGTAGTTCTCCTCGTACTCGTTGTAGTCCTCGTCGTATTCTTCGCCGTACTCTTCGCCCTCGCCACCTCCTTCGCCCTCGCCGACAGCCTCTTCGTCGTCGTCGTCGTCCTCCTCCTCCTCTGGCTCAATCTCCCGGTCGCGGAACGCATCACCAAGCACGCTGTTGGCCTGGCTTGTTTGCCCGCTGGCCGTGCCCGTGGCCGTGCCGGGCCCGCCGCCTGGGCCGCTGTTGAGGAGACTCGAAATGGCATCGTAGTTGAGACGCTTCGACATGCCGTGGTGCTTCATGACGTTCTGGGCAGCCTCGATCGGGGTGCTGGCGGGCGACGTCTGGGCCTCGCCGAGACGCGGCTTGTTGCGCTTGCGGGGCCGCTTGGGCTTGCCGGCCTCGAGCTTCCTGTCAAACTCGCGCTGCTGGTTCTTGCGCAGCCAGTCCTGGTTCTCGTTGACCCACACAATCTCCTTGAGCTTGACCTCCTCGGGCGACAGCAGCGCGTTCATGACCTCGACGTCGTCGGCAAACTCGTCCTCGAGGACCTCGGGCGCCATCGAGACGGTCTTGCTGGGCTCGTACTGCAGCGCCCAGTCGGCGTGGAGGCGTGCGCGCTGCTCGGCGCTGGCGTAGGCTGCGGCGTGCTGCATCGTCTCGGGGTCGTTCATGATTTCCGAGATCTGCTCCTCCATATTCTCCTCGTCGTCCACCCACTCCTCGTTGATCGGCAGCGGGTGTTTTGGCGGCCGGCCTTTGGCGTTGCCGGCGACACCGCGAGCCTTGCTCTTGTCGTCGCCAAACGCATCCACGAGCGCCGGAAAGTTGCTCTCGTCCTCGCCGTCGAGCTGCCCATTGAGGACCCTGTCTTCAGCCGATGTCGGCTCGGGCGGCGGCACGGGCGGGATGAGATAGCCGTCCTTGTCGCGGAGGTAGGAGGCGCTCGGGCACGGCACCGATGACAGGTCGGGCCCCGTTCGGATCGGCGGTGGCGCTGGAGACTCGAGTACGCTGCCGTCGCGGTCTGAACCGTCGTCGCCGGTGGTGCGCTTGCGCTTGCGTCGCTTCTCCTCGATCCTCTTCTTGTACTCGTCCGAGTGCCGGTAGAAGGAAGGCGGGTCATGCGAAGGGGGTCCCGCGCTCTCCCAATCCTTGGTGAGAAAGTCGTCAATGGTCAGCTGACTGGCAGCCGTCTCGTTGAACTCCTTCATGCGCTCCTGAATCGTATGGCTCGTGACCTTGACAATGTAGACGACCTCGCGCATGGTACGGCGGAAGTTGTTCATGCGCGCGGCCATCAATAGGCAGGCACCGCAGATACCTGACGGTCGGCGACCCATGATGATCCAGTCCCTGCGCATCGATGTGATGAGGCGAACGGCATCCTCGGCGACCTTGTCGGTCTGCGGTCCAAAGTCGAGCTTGGTCGCCAGCCGGTGAATGATGTCTTCGGGGAAAATGGTGCAGGCGAGACTGCCAATGGGCACCTTGTTGACGAGCGCCTTGAAGCAGCGGCCGAGACGAAAGACGTTGAGCCGCGTCAGGTCGGCGAGATCGAGCATCATGACAAACTGCGTCTCGCGCTCGTTGCCCTCGACCCTCTCCTGCGACCGAAAGGCGTAGTAGATGCAGGCGGCGCAGACCATCTGAAGGGTGCGGCCCTGGGTGAAGCCCTGGCCCATGGCGAGCTTAAACGTGGCGACGGCCTTGTCGACAATGTGCGGGCGGGGATTGCCAGCGAGACGCCAGACGTAGCCGTGGATGAGGTTCTTGGCGTCAATGATGGTCTTGTCGCGCTGGCTCGAGCCGGCACCGCGACCTCCGGGGCCAAACGTCCGCGCACCGCCCTGGTCGGCCGAGATGTAGCTGCCCTGCACCATGGCAGCACCGGAGGACGTCTCGCCGAACTGGACCTCGGCGACAATGTTGCTCTCCTCAGCGATGCGACCACACCCGTGGCAGATGCCGTCGACGACTTTGGGGTTCGTGCAGTGCTTGTTGGGACACTTGGGCCCGCTCGAGGACACCATGGCCGACGCGCGTTTGTTCGCTGCGGCGGCGGCGGCGGCATCCTTGGCTGCCTTGAGTCGGGTCGCCTCGTCGCGCTGCACGCGAGCCATCGTCTCAGCGAGACCACGGGGCCGCTGGAACGGTTTGGTGGGCTTCCTGGCGGGAGGCGCCATTTTGAAGGCGTTGGAGGTGCCTCCGTGGGCTTTACTTTGATGTTTGGAGAATGAAGAGAGGTATATCGATGAGTTTGCGTTGACCTGTCAGGGAATCTGGCCGTATTCGCCCCCGTTCCTTCCAAGGCAGGCAGTTGCGGGGCGCTCGCCAGAACCGACGATCCTGACTAGTCGAAGAGCAACCAGAGTTCTCGGTCTGCGCGAGCTGAAAGCTGAAAGCAATGCCTTCTGTTGACATGGAGCAGGGCAGCTGCTCAAGGTCGCGGTTGAGGTTGAGTCGAGGTGAGGTTGGAGGTGGGCCAGCTCTGTGTGGCGGAAGCCCCAGTGGAATTTTCGCAGCGGGGTGGGCGACGAAATTTTGGTCGAGAGGGCAAGCGCGAGCATCCACGATGGGGATGAGTCAGCCATGATGGAGGCATCGCGTTCGAGCCCGGATGGGATGAACGACACTGCACTTTGCTGCTGCCTGCCGAGGATTGACACGCATGTTCTACAAGGACGATCAATGCAACTCCATCGTCGTTCTTCATACGGATTACTAAATTACAGTAATTTCCATCGAGAAGCCTTGCTCATCAGGGCAGCTCCGCTCGACCGCCGATGCCCGACAGCCCAAAGCGGTATCACCGCCCCCCTCCCTCAGTGCCATCGACGGCTGACGGTTCCCTGGGCCGGATGCCGCTGACTGTCATGGCGTCGGAGTCGGGGCGATCGCTCATTGTGATGAGTCTCATGCGGGGCATCGAGTAACTCGTTCCCCTCATGCGGGGCACCGTACGCCCTTGTGCTCGGGCGCACGCCGTGGTGTCATGGGTGGATTCGCAGCATATAAGTCGGCGCAGTCCTGGGCCGAGTCAACTCTGGGCCGAGTCAACGTCATCTGTCAGACGTGCTTCAGATTTAACGCGCTCATTCCTCCCTGAACTTACACGCTCGACACCCCAATTTCAACCTCGCCACCATGTCCTTCAAACTCGAGGCCGGCCCCGGCACGGATGTCTGGAAGAAGCACCCGTCCTGGGACGTCTACAATGGTAAGCACATTGTCAGATGCCGCCGCGAACCCTACTGACGAGCAGTCCCCACGCACGCCCTCCCCAAAAAGCCGCTGACGTCCTTCCGCTCGGCGCGCCTGACGTTCAGCGCCAAGTGGACTGAGCAATACGACCAGGCCGGCATCCTCTTCACGCTCGAGCCGCGGAACGCCTCGGACGAGAAACAGAGGAGATGGGTCAAGACGGGCCTCGAGTACTACAACGGCACCCCGCAGCTGAGCACCGTCGCCTGCGATCGTTACGCCGACTGGAGCATCACGCCGCTGTCTGCCGTTGGACCCACAGACGGCCCCCTGGATTTCGTCGTCGAGCGGAACGAGAGCGAGCACGGCACGAGCATCTGGATCTACTACGCACCACCGGGAGGCAAGGAGCGCGTGGCTCTGCGCGAGGTCGGCTGGTTCTTTGCTGACGGCGCCGACTGGGACCTCGAGGTTGCCGCTTTCGCTGCGCGGCCGGCCGAGAAGACGGACGGCAAGCTGGAGGTGGAGTTTTCCGGGTTTGAGGCCAAGTGGGAATAGGCGGAGGAGACAGACAGCAGTTGATCACGAAAACCAGGACATCACGAGCAACATCAAGTGAGGCGGCCGAATTTCTCATTATCTCGCCCTGATGAGGGCTCAAGCCAGCCGGGGCGTCAGCGTTCCACTAGGGAGCCGCATCGCGCCCAAAATCATCAAGATCATCATCTCCTCCAATGTGACAAAGGAGACCGCTGCTATATCGCAAAGCGGGTGTGCCAAGTACAGGCCGAGTGCCCGCCATCTCTTTCCGTGAAGAACAAAAGAAAACATGCCAGTCTGCTATCTTCAGAGATGCCGGGCTTCTATCCGCAGCGGGGGGTTCGTCCAAGCGCCCCCCTTGCCGCTGCAGGAGAATGGAGAGAGTTGGGATGAGTCGTTCATCCGTATATGCCCGAACGACGGCAAGTGAGTGGCAATTTGTCAGTTCCGTTTTTTTTGGGTACTTTTTGTGGTTGATTGCCGTGTTCGGCATGCAGCAGCAAACCCATTCGTAGTCGTGTTCCTTACCTGGGAAGCCCCGAGGAGGCAGAATTCCATGGTAAGGCAAGCCACTGCCCCAAATTCAAACGCCCCAGAAAACTGAGTACCCATGAAACAGGAACGGGGAGGCTTTGTGTCTAGGTCCCTCGCTCCCATGTGTCAGAACAATGGACGGCCCCCGAATGGATCGCCAATCTGACATGGGGGCCACAGAAGGAAGAACGCCAAAACGCCTGCCACCATTCCGCTTTACGTCCCGGGGTATCACAATTTAGGGACAGTCCGAAGCATGGCTCGAAAAACACAGAAAACACACACGTAGCAGAGAACACACTTAGACAGTCTTGGGTGAACGGGCGTTGCTCACGTCAATGACGTCGTCCAGGTGGTTGCACATGGCGACGAATAGGTCGAAAAAGAGTTTGCTGCCGCCGCGCTCCATCTCGGCCTGCATGGTCCCGCTCCTCTTGAATGTCTTGCGACACCGGATGATCAGGGCGAGGTAGTGAGCGCGCAGTCGCGAGTCCGAGTCGGGCGTGTGGGCGTAGGCGTACTGGGCGGAGCGCAAGATCGTGCCGACATCAATGCCGGACTGGAGACCTTGCTTGCGCAGGGCCAGCCTCTTGAGCTCCTCGAGCCCGTACCGCTCCGCAGAACAGTAGACGGCCGTGTCGCGGAGGAGGTGCTGCCCGTACGCTGCCACGTAGACGGTGGCGTCGGATTGTGGCCCCATGGCGGGGCTTGCCGCCGAAGCGGAACTGGCGGCGGCGCGGCCGCCTCCGGGGGTATATGTGTCGACGTAGGGCGAGGTCTGCGGTGTTCCCCGTACGGTGTTCTCGAGCTCCCAAGAGTTGCGGTGCTTGTTGTGCCTGAGGCACGGGTAGTAGTCACCCTTGTAGAGGTACTCGAGAACGGCGGAGAAGACCTCGGGTTCTTCGTCGGGAAGGGATATTCTCTTGCTCTGCGCGTCGAAAAAGTGGCTGTCGCGGCACGCCGATTCGAAAAACGGCGCTTGGCGTAGCACGTCCTCGTGCGCTGCAAATAGCCGCCCCTCACGCCCGACCGTCAGGGTGACGATGGGGGCGGGGGCCAAAGAGGTGCTCTTGACCGCCGGTGCTGGCACCGGCTTGGCCTGAGTCTCCTCGGTGAGCGACCGTTGCAGTCTCGACAGCTTCTGGGGATCCCGGACTGAGTTGTTCTTCTTGAGGCGCGCAGCCTTGTCGACTCGGCTGGGGTCTTGCGACCTGAACGAGCGCTTGAACATGGTTGCTGTTGCGAAGAAGAAAAAGGTTGGCGAGTGCTCGGGATTATCGAAAGACGGTATGTCGTTGATCGTACTTGTAGAGAGCGACGAAAAGAGCGGCGAGAAGAGATTCGGAGAGGGAGGGGGGAGAGAGAGAAAACGCACGAACAAATGATTGACGGAGGGCCCGGGTGGAAAATATCTCAGAGAAGGACGTGTAAACGAGCGGACTAGGAGATATCCCAGGTGTGACTTTGCGACCCAGTTTGCTGTGGTGAAGAGGGGGGGAGGGGGGAAACCAAACACAAGTCCGTGATGGCGGGGGCTGCCCGTGTTATTTATCTAGTGCTGCCTTGTGAGGGCGGGGGAGGGGCCACGCCAGGCCAGGGGCAGGCACGGGCACTAACAGGGGCCCCGGTGGCTGGGCGTGCTCCGCGTCAACAACAAAACACCACTGGCTCGGGTTGTACCACCGTGACAATCTGCACAGCCCGTCCTCGACCATCCAGTCAGCGAACGCAACATGCTTTCATCGATTGGGCATTGGCGGCGGTCAGAGAGCCCAATGGCACTCGTGACTCGGCTTGGTCATCGAGGACACCCGGCTCAGGCAGCAGTCGAGCTGAAGCGCCCGACGAGGGTTCTAGGCCAAGGGATCAGCAAGGACGTGCCAGCATAGCACTACACAGCACTACACAGCACTACACAGCACTGCACAGCACGACAGCGCAGCACGACACATCAGACAGCTGCCGAAATCCCGTGGACGTTCACGTGATCGTCCACAGCCTGACTTCGTCACTGTTGACCACGATTACCCCGCTTGTGTCGTGTACTCGCAGGCAAATGCTGAACAAGCAAAATGTCTGATGAGGTCTCAAGACTTTGGCTTCACTCGCCCGGACCCCATTGGGCGGGCAATCCCGATTGTCAACGAGTGCTCTGCTGAATACTTCGACGGGGGTCTTACCGGCTCCAAACCATGTCTCGAGCACGGGCTTCGGGGCCATCCGCAGTCAACATGGGGCGACGAGGATCACGGGACAGCTGCCGACAGCAGCGCCGAGTTACTTCGGGCTTCACTTCGGAACTGCAGTTGGGCCTAGGCTGTCAAAGAAAAGCAATGTCACCGCTACCCAACAGTTACCACTTTTGACCGCGTGACCGCCTGGCTGACGGCTTCCCCAAGGCCAGAACGCGGACGTACGGATCGAATGCCAACGACATTGGTGCGATGTGGTGCAAGAAATCAGAATAGCGTCTCGCAACTTCGTCAACAAGCTGGAGGGAAATACAGAAGTGAGGAAAAGATTAATGTCGTGACTCATGCTCGGAGCAGCATCATTGTGAAGGTAGGGGTGCTTGAGGATGTCGTTTGCGTATTTCTGGTGGTTTCACGCACAGTCGCCGACCGGACGTAGATAGTGTACAACCTTGCAGCTATAGCATCCTGTCATCTTAACAAGACGAGGCTAAGAACAAAGTCTGGGTAATATCCACGCATGTTCGATCAAACCGCGATGTAGCTATGCATGCACCTGTATCACCTTCAAGAGGTTTGTGGCATAGAAGCAACGATGAATTAACGAAGGGCTTATGACGCTCAGGGCAGATTGTCACAGGAATCTCCTCGAATTGGGTTGTCGAAAACCATTTACTTCTATCATCAACAGACAGCGAGTTGGAATGATGGATACGACTGTTGACCAGCGTATCCGTGAATGTTTGGGTTTGTTCCTTGGTGACGTCTCTACTGCAAGAACATGCCCGTGCCTCCAGCTGAGAACAAAAAATGGGTTGGAAGCATGGTTTTATTAGGATACGCAAGACGGATCAGTTCTAGGTGGACCGCACAGCCACGGACGCTCCTCCATATCCTACCACTTCTCTCTGTCGTCCACACACATCCTGCTCGCAACCCCCAACTTAATCATCGCGAGCGGCGGCGGCAGCAATTCGCATGCGAGAAAGCTGGAATGACTTGACAATCGTCTCTCGAATCGCGATAAAGCCGTAGACGAGGGCAAATACTGTCCATTGTCAGTGGCATCCCCCAGAAGTAGGCCACAACATACTGATCGGCGACAGCACGACGAAACCAATCGTGTTTGCGACAACAGCCTCCCGCGAACCTGCCTCATCACCGTCTAGCCAGAAAGGACCGGTTCCCGTGACGGTCCTGCCAACAGCAGCCCAAGCTACGTAGAGCCCGGAAAGGAAAAGGAGCCCGAAGATGTGGGCACCAATGGCATACGGACGCTTGACGCTGTTGAGAAACAGAATCTCGACGAGAACTATCAAAGTGGAGATGACGAAGAGGTTCAGTATTGCAAAAGCCTCAAACCAACCCTCACCAAACATGTCCGTGAGTGGCGTCTTTCCGGCAGTGCCGTAAGGCAGAAGAGGTGACTGACTGATGCCAAAGTCTCGAAGCTCTGCGGGCGACTTTGACATGCCCAGACCCGAAGGTTCTGGCTCAGCAGGTGAGCTGTCATCCCCAGAGCCTGCGTGAGGCAGCGTGACGAGAAAGTACAGCATCGTGTTGATGATGGCGAAGATGGACGTTAAAAAGTAGAAGAGCGTAAAGTAGAACTGCTTCCGGAGGCTGTTCATGTTGGCTGGAAGCGAGAGGAACCGCAGGACCCGATACTCCCAGCCGGATCGGCGATCTTCAATGCGCGGGAAGTAGAGGTGGGTAAAGGTCCAGGACTGTCTGGTTAGCTTGCACCCAAGGCCGTGACCGGGTGGCATACAAAGACGATCGCGTGGTAAGCCAGGAGAAGGCCGAAGCTGATGATTTCGAGCTCAAAGATGATGCGCCAGTCCGAAAACTTGGACTCTTCCTGCTCCACCTTGTAGTCGAGGATCATGATGCTGGCGGCAATGAGGTAGGCGAGGAGGAAGCCACGGATGTAGAAGAGTGCATTCTGGGGAAGCTATCGCCACGGCGAATGGCACACTCGAAGGAATGCGGGCTGCGAAGGTTAGCGAAGTAGCGAAGTGATCGCTCGAACATACGTGATCCTGTGTTCGGCCATATGCAGCTGGTGTGGGTAATCCGCTGGGAGGCGCGAGCAGGGGCGTGGTGATTGACGATTCGTCCATTGCGGGCGATGCGTCGATAGCGAATGTTGAAAGTGATGCTGGTCACGAACAATCGTCGGACATGTACTGGTGATGCAGAGTGTGTTGATGCGGGCATTCTACGGTTGAGCTTGAAATGGCTTTCGTCCCTCTTGGCTGGTGATGGTGGCTGGCTTTCTACTGATGAATGTGGCAAGCGCGACACGTGCTGCGCTTCCCTCGACCGATGCCACGAATATAGTGGTAACTTCCTAGTGAAGTTATACGATACCTTCCATTCAAGTGGCTTTTACAGAACCAACACAATGATTGAGACGTCACTCACAGCCCTCCTCCAGGGACGTATTCGACCATCTCAAGGTTGGGGTTTGGCATGGAATGGCATGAAAGGCACCAGTGGGGTGGCCCACCTGGTCCGTGCACGAGCCTCGCTGGCCTGAACTAAGCTTCAAGCTTTATCGCGAGCTGCCTCCAAGCTGTCCATCCCACTCCGCGAACAACGAACCCCGCGACGCCGTCCAGCTCGCAAACCCGACGTCTATAGCCCGAAAAGACGTGCTTCGACAGTCATCATGCTCTCCAGCCTCAAGAACCCGCGGCAGGCGGCTGCCCAGCTCCTCAACTTCGGCCTCATCCTGTCGACGGCCTTTATGGTTCGTGGCTCGCCGCCCTGATCGCTGACCTTGCTGACCTTGACCTGCAGATGTGGAAAGGTCTTTCCGTGATTACCGACTCTCCCTCGCCCATCGTCGTCGTTCTTTCCGGCTCCATGGAGCCCGCCTTCCAGCGTGGCGACCTCCTCTTCCTCTGGAACCGAAACCTTCTCCGCGAGACCGATGTTGGCGAAGTTGTCGTGTACAATGTCAAGGACAAGGACATCCCGATTGTCCACCGCATCGTGCGGAAGTTTGGAGCTGGGTGCGTACCTTCTGGGACTTTGTTGATGGCCGGACTGACAAAAGCAGCGCCTCGGCCAAGCTGCTTACCAAGGGCGACAACAATGCAGCCGACGACACGGAGCTCTACGCGCGCGGACAGGACTACTTGGAGAGACAGGACATCATTGGCAGCGGCACGTTACCAGAAGCACCCCTTGCCAGTCCCGACTAACACGTTGCAGTGGTTGCCTACATTCCCTTTGTCGGATACGTCACGATCCTCCTCTCGGAACACCCTTGGCTAAAGACGGTTATGCTGGGAATCATGGGACTTGTTGTTGTGCTGCAGAGAGAATAGCGGACCCTCGACTGACGCGGAATTGATACCATCGGCTGCCCTGGAGCTTGGCCTTGCCAAATATTTGACACGCTTTACGATCGATTGTGGATGTCGAGGAGAGGGATTGCAAACGATGCAGCCGTCAGCCCTCTAACTACTGACTGGATTCACACCACCTAGAAACCTGAGCACACCTGCGCAGACCATATGCAGTGCAGTGGACCAGAAACGAGATTGCTCAGCGCCCGTAGCCTTAACCGTGGAGCGGCACCACTCGTCGTCCAATGACCCTGCGTGGATCCAGGGACCCGTTGACAAGCGCTTGGCAACGGCCAGGGGGGCTCTGAGCATGGGAGCCAGGGGCTGCTCCCAAGCGGGCTAGACTCGCCGCTATCGACGGCACAGCGCGCTGAGTGTCTGGAGGAAGACGGTTGCCTGTCTGTTTATGAGCTGCAAAAGAAAAGGGTCCCCCTCCCGCGATGATTCCATTTCGTCGCGTCGCCTGTACGGTCGTTGCGCCGAGTCTGTCGCTTCTTTTCCTTCTCTTCCTTCTCTTCTTTCACTCTGTCGCGCTCATTGACACCATCAAACCGATTAACGACATACAAGTGCCTCGGCAAGTTTGCAGACATGCATTCCAAGGCGGCAGAGTCGAGCGCAACGGCGCACCCTTCTTCGGAGAGACCAACGACGCCCACCCCCGATGCCCAGCCGACGGTTGCCCGCCAAACCCAGCCGCCGCTGATCAACAACGTGCAATCATTCGTGCAACAACCATATTTGTATCCGCCGCAACCACCGCTCTACGGACCTGGGCCGCGTAAACCTCGCATCATTCCGTTCACGAGATCGTGGCACATTGCCAAGATTGTGTTGCGATCGGTCGAGCTCGCCTGTGCCATCATCGTCATTGCCCTGACAATCGCCCTCATCTCCGTCGCACTCTACGCTGGCCATCTTCCGTTGGCTCTGAGCCTGCCACCGGTGCGTACTTGACCAGCAGCTCGTTGGACGTGTCCTTGTGCTGACTGCCCAGGCTTGCATGTGTGTCCTGTGGGAGACAGCAGAGTTCATTACTCTCTGCGCGCGAGGCGGCAAGCAGGGCATCCACCCAGGAGCTCACGTCGGCGTCCACCTCGTCACGTGGCTGTACTGGGCTCTAGGTATTGTCTGTATGGGCATGTTCTCCTTCTACCGAGGTGACTACCGAGACAGCTCGGACTTTGACTATGGCATGGGCCTCAACTATGGCATCATCGGTACCAGCGCGGCCGCGTTGTGAGTTTTGTCTGGCTCTTGTTGACGAGTGACCATCGCTGACATGTCCCAGCCTCGTCACCTTTACCTTGTTCGTCCGCGCCTGCGTCGAGACCAATCAACGCAACCGTCAGCAGCGGCAGATTTTTGTCATGGCTGGAAACGGCGGCCCCTTTTATGTCATGCCGCAGGCACAGGCGGCCTCGCTGATGCAGCAGTATCCGCAAGCTATGCCTATGCCTGGTGTCTATCCCGGCGCCCCTCAATATCCTCCCGCGCGAGACTATAAGGTCCCAGTTACAGGCGGCGCACCAGCGCATCCCGTCATTTCGCCTGCCGATGGATCGTTCTACGGTCCGGGAAACCCTCACCAACAGCAATCTTGAGCCAGCTGCCGAGCCGATCTAATGTCTAATCCATATTTTGATACCCTGAAAACATTCTTGCCCATATGCGCACCTTTTAGCACAAGTGACCCGATTAGATATCTGCAAACCTACTTTCAAGTCAAGTCAAGTCACTAGACAAACATAACACAGCTTGCACAGCGGCAAACATATTCTCATTCAGCTTTCCAGTGGAACTTGGCCGCAGGATGGTCAGGCGGTGGCCGTGCCGCACCCTTCTCGCCACGCAGGTTCTCTCGGTACGTGCCGCCGGGAACGGCGTATCCCTCCCACAACAGCCCGCGCTGCCTCAAAACGGGGAACAGGTCAGAGATGATGTCCTCAAAGGAACCAGGCATCAGCGCATACGCGAGATTGAACCCGTCAACATCGGCTTCAGCCACCCACCTCTCCATCTCGTCTGCAACAAAGTCCGGCGTACCCACGACCGTCGCGCCGAGACCACCGACCTTGATGTGGTTGCCCACCGTGTGCTTTGTCCACTTGGCCACGCCCGGCGCTGACTTGCTCCAGGCTTCGACTGCCGACCGTATGGCATTCGACTCTACGTGCCGCAGCTCTTCGTCGTCGCCGTACTTGGCCAGGTCGATGCCCGTCCAGCCACCGAAGAGGGCCAGAGCACCGTCCTCGGAGCCATAGCTAAGGAATTCCTCGTACCTCGCCTGCGCCTTCTCCTGCGTGCTCGCAATGACCGGGCACAGCAGAGCAAGGAACTTGATGGAGGCAGGGTCACGCCCGTACTCATCGCGCGCCGCCGCTCTGATCTCGGCAATGTTCTTGGCAATGACAGATGGCGAATGGCCAGCGACGAAGATGGCCTCGGCGTTCTTCGCCGCAAATGCCTTGCCAGCCCGCGAAGTGCCGGCCTGAAGAATGACCGGTGTTCTCTGCGGCGACGGCTCACAAATGTGGGGGCCCGGCACCTGGTAAAACTTGCCGACGTGATCAATCGTCCGGACGAGCTTGGGGTCCGTATAGATGCCCGTCTCGCGGTTCAGCTTGACGGCGTCATCTCGCCACGAGGATTGCCTGGGCTGTCAGCTACATTGAGACGCACGACGTGAAAAATCGAGGCTCACCAAAGCTTGTACATGACCTCGACATACTCCTCAGCCATGACGTATCGCTCGTCGTGCTCCGGCTGTTGGGTGTGGCCAAGGTTACGGGCCGCTGAATCGAGGTAGCCCGTGACAATGTTCCATCCGACACGCCCTCCCGTCAAATGGTCAAGAGTGCTGAGACGACGCGCGAGATGGTACGGCTGTTCGTAGGTCGTTGCGACCGTGACGCCGAAACCCAGACTCTCCGTCGCCGCAGCCATGGCTGACACTGTCATCAAAGGTTCGTTGACCGGCCACTGCGCTCCAGAAACAATGGCAGGATCAGGGTTCTTGGGCCCCTTGTACACATCGTAGGCGCCCTAGACTGTCAGGATGCATTACACCATGAACGGACATCATCACTCACCAGCACATCGGCGATGAACATGCCGTGGAAGCCGCCCTTCTCCAGCAGCTGAGCCAACTTGACCCAGTGCTTAATGTTGTTGAACTCGGACGAGTGGTCATCCGGGTGCCGCCAGAGCCCCGGCGACTGATGGCCGCTGCATGACTCGACAAAGGCATTCAGAATGAGCTGCTTCTTGGGGGAAGCCATGGTGCTGGTGATTGCGGCGAGTGTCTTCTCTCTGTCTCAATGGTGTGCTCGACGCGATCCCCGTTCTCAACGCGAATCTCCTTGCTCTTTAATACACAATGACTGAATGGCTGAATAGCCTTTCAATAGCCTTGCCGAAATGTTCGTCCTCAAATGACCCCCGCCGACTACCCCTCGATGACCCATGTCGCATCGCGATGGCGCGATATACCCGCGCAATGAGATGCCCGGCGAACAAGTTCCGATGGCGCATGCCGACCAATCGTCTTACACGCAATGTATGTCGCACAACTGCCGAGCGATGTCGGTCGTGCTGGTTTGAAGATCAATGGGGCCATTTTCCTTCAGACATTCGAACAATCTTATCTGGGCCATACGGTGGTGAACCCGAGTCTCGTAGGATCACCTCCTCGTTGGGTACCGATGCAATCACGACATATTTAGCGGCGTGCCCTCATCTTGAGCGCGGGATGTTGACCCGCGCGTTCGGATGCCTGCCACGTGCGTTGTCTCGAGCTCAATCGCAGGTCGATATCAAGAGGCAGTCCCAGCGTTCTGGTTTCGCTCTCCCCGTCTCGCTTCTTTCGGTATCGCTATTTGCTGTTGTCCATACCATCCTGCTTAAACCACACACTGCCAAGCGAACAACATGGCTGGAGGTGCAGCATCGGGCGATGTTTCCGACAGCGTCGTGGCACCGCCTCTCCCGCAGTTCGCTGCATAGTGAGTGTCTCTCAGATATCGTGCTCGTGCTCGTGTTCGACTGACCTTTCTTAGCATCGTTGTCGTCGTCATCGGCTTCATCTTTGCTGCCGTCATGATTGGCATTACCCACATCCTCAAGCGTACGGTCGGTGAAGACAACAAGAAGACGGAGATGTTCATCACAGCCAACAGGACTGTCAGCACTGGTCTCACGAGTTCGGCCGTCATCTCGTCGTGGCTCTGGAGCACGGCTATGTTGGGAAGCACCCTCGTCGGCTACAACTTTGGCGTCGCCGGTCCCTTTTGGTTCGCCGCAGGCTGTTCCCCCATGATTGTCTTCTTCTCTCTCCTGGGTATCGCCTGCAAAATGCGTGTCCCCCAGGCGCACACCCTGCTCGAGATTATCCGCATCCGCTACGGCAAGGTCGGCCACATTGTGTGGATCGTACTGTGCCTCATCAACAACATTATCGCCGTCGCCAACATGCTGCTGGGCGCGAGCGCAGCCATCTCAGCGCTGTACGTCTTTTTTCGTTCACCCCTATCCTGGCATGAGCTGACTATGTAGCTCTGGCATGCACGTCATTGCCGCAACGTTCCTCCTCCCCGTCGGTGTCATCTTGTACACCTTTGTTGGCGGCATCAAGGCCACGTTCCTCACCGACTATGTCCATACGTTCATCATCACTATCATCATTTGCTTCTTCACGATCAAGGCCTTCTTGACGCCCGAGATTTCGTCGCCTGCCCATCTCTATGAGCTGATTGTGGCCGCTGGCGAGGCACACCCCGTCAGCGGTAACCACAACGGCTCCTACCTGACCATGACGAGCCACGGCGTACGTCTGCCACCCTCATGAACTATCTCTCCACCGCTGACATTCACAGGCCATGCTGTTCGGTATCATCCATGTTCTCGCCAACTTTGGCCTCGTCGTCATGGACACGGGCTTCTTTGTCAAGGCCTTTGCCGCTCGTCCCCAGGCCGTCGTACCTGGGTACGTCATTGGGGGTATTGCCTACTTTGGCATCCCTTGGTGCCTGGGAACGCTGATGAGCTTTGTCGCCCTGGGTCTTGAAGGCGAGGAGATCTTCCCGACGTATCCTCGACGCATGTCCGGCACGGAAATCTCCAATGGCCTTGTGCTCCCGTACGCTGCCATTGCCATTGCCGGCAAGGGTGGCGCCACGGCGATCCTGCTCATCACCTTCATGGCCGTCACGTCGACTCTGTCGGCCCAGGTCATTGCCGTCTCGTCCATCATCAGCTTTGACATTTACCGCCAGTACATCAACAAGGCCGCCACCGACCGTGATGTCATTCGATGGAGTCACATCGGCGTCGTCTTTTTTGGCCTCTTCTCTGCTTGCTTTTCAACCGTGCTTCACTATGGCAAGGTCGATCTCGGCTGGACGCTGTACATGCTGGGCGTCTTGACATGCCCCGGCATCTTCCCGACGACCTTTGCTATTCTCTGGAAAAAACAGTCTACCGTGGCTGCCGTCGTCTCGCCCATCCTTGGTCTCTTCACCGGTCTTGCTGTCTGGCTCGGCACTGCTCAAGCGCTCTTTGGCGAGATCAGCGTCGCATCCACCGGTCAAGCGGCCCCCTGCACCTGGGGCACGACGGCATCTGCGTTAAGCCCGGCGCTCTACTCTGTCGTTATTTCTCTCGTGAAGCCTGCCAATTTCAACTGGGCCGACTTCCGCAACGAGAAGCTCACTCTCGATGGTACGACCCTGAACGTCGAGGAGTCGGACTATCAGACAAACAAGGCCCAGCTCAAACGTTGGGGCCGCCTCAGTGCGTACTGGTCGCTAGCCACGTTCTTCGGACACTGGGTCCTGTGGCCTCTGCCAATGTACGCGGCCAAGTATGTCTTTAGCGAGAGCTTCTTTGTGGCCTGGCTTGTCCTTGCCATTATCTGGGTGTGGATCACAATGTTTGTCGCCGGCTTTTTCCCGATCATCGACGGGCGCAAGCAAATCGTGGATGTCATTCAAACACTACGAGGGCGCAGCAAGAAGCCTGAGACGAGCGAAAGCGAGGGACCCGCGACGCCCGCCGAGTCCGTGGCCTATGGCCAGAAGGAGTAATGTCATTGTGAGTCATTTGGTAGCTAATGCAGGCATAATGCTAAATTCTCAATGCCGTGTTTGTTCGTTGCCAGCCCCTAGACCAGTCGTGGCGTGAAAGCTGCCTTTTTTACAGACACTGTGAGTACCACTGGTTCGAGGCCCTGCACGTACCCTGCGAGCAGCACTTTGCTCCGTTCCAGCCCTGACCACCGCACTGCCCGTAAAGCGCTGCGCAGCTGCCTGAGGGCGGGGGCGTCGTGGGAGGCATCGTAGGAGGTGTGGTCGGGGGTGTGGTCGGGGGCGTCGTGGGTGGGCTCCCCCCGGAGTTCAGCTTGCTTCGCACAAATGTCAGTGCCGCCTGGCCGTAGACGCCGCCGTATCCCTGGTGAACGGCCTGGTTGTTGCCGGTGCAGCAGTACGGGTCGGGCGAGTCGCAGTAGTTCTGGATCTTGCTGCCCGAGGGACAGACGAAGCCGGCAGGACGCGCGGCGAACTGACGATGGTTAGCTGCAGTTTCACGGTGCCTGCTGAACAACAGATGCAGATGAACTCACCCCTTGCGCCGTGCAGGTGCCGACGTTGTACGAGAACCCAGCTCGGTACCGTGGGCTGCCCATGAGGATGGCAGCCTTGACGGCAGTGACGGCACTCGCAGTCAGGGGCACGGCCGTGTTGGTGATGCCGGAGCCCGGGTCGCCGCCGCCGCACAGGGCATTGTCCATGATCTGGCCGCCCTGGGAGTACCCGACGAGAACAATCTGCGTGTTCGGGCACCTCTGGTTGAAGCTGTTGACAGCCGAGGCGACAGCGTTGGTGCCCTGCATGGCCGAGTTGCCGTAGCTGATGCCGCCGCAGGAGCTCTGGCCGCCGCACGCTGGGTACACGATGGCCTCGGCAGTCGAGCCGGGGTACGCGTTCAGGATGAGGTTGACAACGGTGCCGGCCGAGCCATAGCCGGGCCCGACGGTGGTTTCACGGGCGCCGAAAACGTGGATACTGGGGCAGCTCTGACGCTCAATGAGACCCGCAGAAGCGACTAGGGCCTGGGCGGCGAGGAGGAGAGCGAACGTCTGCATTGTGATGGTGTGGATGAGTGAGGCGTCATGTCTCCCTTCTCCCAGGGCTCGGCGACGACCCTTTTATATGCTTCGGACACTGCAAAAAGCCCCCGTCAGACCCCATCTCAACGTCTTCGGGAGATTGCTTGATCCCGCTACAAAAGGAGCAACGTCCGACGACCTCCGTGTCGGTTGCATTCCGCTGGACCGTGCTCGGGTCACACGGCAAACAACATCGTGAAAGCTTGGTACCGTAAAACGTGGCGGACGCTGTCATTAGCCGCGTCCCCTGGCTAGATCATCTGCGAGCGGTGTCGACGGGTGAGCCTCACGCCGGCTGAATTGCCCGATAGTTGAGGGTGCGCGGACTTGCCTGAAGCCACGCGAGGGGCGGATAGATGAAGGCTTGAGCTGAATTCAGGCTAATCCCCCTCGATGTCGGGACTTGAGCAGGGTTTCCCCACACAAAGCATCACAACCGGCAGCCAATGCAACAGTATGCGAGGCCATGACTCGCGGTCAAAGCGGGAGTGAGCAAAGAAAAGAGGGCATTCATTCATTATTATCTTACGCCGCGCGCCTCACGCCCCAGTCAGAGGCCCAATGCTTCCCTCCGCCCCTTGCTCGAGGCATCTAGGTACGGGGCCTCGCCCAGAGAGCACACGCGGTCGCCGGCTCGGGCCTCGTCGTAGTCGTACGTCGCGCAGTGCCAGGTGCTCCTGTTGTCCCAGATGGCAAGGTCGTTCTTGCGCCACTTGAAGCGCACCTGGGCGTCGTGGTTTTGCGTCAAGAGGTTGAAGATGTACGCCAGCAGAACATCCGACTCGTCCTTGGTCACGCCGTTGATGCGCTTTGTGAAGCCCCTGTTCACGTAGACCGACTTCCACCCAGTGACGGCTTTTCGAGGTTAGCATTGCTGGATGTTGCGATGGGAAGGGTTTGCTACTCACGGTTCGTGCGAATGACAGGGTGCACCGCCATGAGGCCCGCACCCTGGTTCAGGGGCGAGCCACGGATGCCCTGACGAATGGGGTTTCCCAGACGCTCAGCCTCGTCAAGGAAGAACTTTGCATCGTGCGTCGCCGTCAGGCCCTCGAGGAAGACCTGCATGGCGGGCGACAGCCGATCGTAAATCTCGTAGCCGCTCGCCCACATGGTGTCGCCGCCCGTGGCCGGCAGCGTGTGGATCTTGAGCATGGCATAGTCCGAGGGGACCGGCTCAAAGGTGATGTCGCTGTGCCAGCCGTTGCTCGCGAACCGGCTGACGTCGGAGAGCTGGTGGGTCAGGCCGCCGCCCTTCTTCTGCTTCTCGGAGCTGATGACGCTGATCTGGTCACCAAGCTCGCTACCTTCTTCGGTCAGGGGGTGCACGTGAAGAGAGGATGACGAGGGCTGGGAGTTGTCAGCAATGCGTTGCATCTCTCTCAAAAGCAAGCGACGACGACTCACGCATCCCGAGAGCTCCGTCAAGCGCAGCATAAAGTCCTTCATCTGGGTAGGCGTCACATCTTGGTTGCGCAGAAAGACAACACCCCTTTGTGAGACTGTTTGGTCAGTGAAATGTGCGTGTTTGCAAGGCAAGATCGCATCTCACTAGTCACAGCCAAATCCCGAATGAGCTGGTCGTCTCCCTTGAGGAGCTCGGCCACCTGGAGGCCCTCAAACTCGCGACCGATGACGGGTGTCAAGTCGTTGGATGTGAAGCCATCGAGAGAGCCCGAGTAGCTCAACGGCGCCGTAAGACGCGGTTTGGCCTGCTCGTTCCCGCCGATTATGTTGCCGTTGGCGCTGGCGTTGTCTTGCGTGGCGGAGGGCATGACGAAAACGGGAAGCACGTCCGAGGCGATGGATGGCTTGACCGAGATTACTGACCGAGGTTCTTCTGCTTTGTCGTGGTGGTGAGACAATCTCTTGTTCAGGGGTTTGTGATTAGGATGCGGCTTCACATTCGTGCTCGAGCATCCTCCAGGCCAGCATTGTGCAGACGAGCCATACATATCCGATCACGCCTTCGCCTGTTGGCGCGGAGAAACCGAAGCAGGAGGCAGTCGTCGACTCGTTGCGGAGAAAATATCGGGGATTCGCGATGGCGTCATCTGACCCAAAATGAGCCCGTCGGCCGCGCCAACCCCGTCCTGGACGAAGCGCCCGACCGGTGCCGCCGCGACTCTCCGCGCGATGCCGAGGGAGGTCTTGGGTCGCCTTAGGGCCAAGCTTGAGAGCTGGGGGAAGGGCTTCATCGTGGCCGGCATCTTCCACGCGGGCTCTGGGGTCTGCCTGGCCGGGGTCGACAGCTGCCGATCGCAGTCGTCCACTGCCCACGTAGCAGTCAGGGTCTGCTCCACCGAGGCAGATGCATAGAAGCGCGTTCTACGTGTGAGTTGAGTGCCGGGACGTCGTGCTTTTGTGTCAATGGCGTGCTCCGGCCGTGGGATTTCGTCCAGCTCATTTCTCCGTATCTTTCTCCGTGTGATGCCAATGGCGATGGCTTCATGGTGTTGAGGTTGCATGAGAGTTGTCGCACTTATAGGAAGCCGTCGCAGTCCTGCCGATCTCGACTTTTCGTCTCGTCTTCCCCAAGGTCGCCGCTCCTCACCCTGTTCTTGGTTGTTCAAAGGCCGAGACAAACACGTGCACCGCAGGCGAATTCGACTCCTCAGCCTCAAGCAAGTTGCTCCTGCCCTGCACCACACGTACCTGCCCTCTCACTGTCGCCGCCATGGGCACCGAAGACATTGAGACGCACGACACGCCCCGCGCGGGACCCGGCGAATCGTCGTCTCTCAAGGGCCTCACCGACGTGCAAGTCGGCCGCAGCGAGCTCAGCGATGCCATCCCCCCCGACCACAAGTACGAGGGCCGCCACCGATGGGATCCCACTGCGACGTGGACCGAGGCCGAGGAGAAGAGCGTCATTCGCAAGACGGACCTCTGCCTGCTGACCTGGCTCTGCGTCATGTTCTTCGGTCTCCAGCTCGATCGCGGCAATCTGTCCAACGCGCTGGCCGATGACTTCCTCACCGACATGAACCTCACGAGCGACGATTACAACAACGGTACCACCATTCAGCTCGTCGCCTTCCTCGCCGCCGAGTTCCCCGTCCAGCTGTTGACGAAGCGCTACGGTTTCCGCTACGTGCTGCCCACCATGATGTTCGCCTGGGGCACCGTCTCGTGGGCGCAGGCCTGGATGCACAACCGCACCGGCTTCTACATCACCCGCGCCCTCATTGGTTTCTGCGAGGGCGGTTTCATCCCCGGTGCCATCCTCTTCGCCACCTACTTCTACACCTCCAAGGAGCTGTCCATCCGCCTCGCCGCCTTCTGGTCCACCCTCAACATTGCTCGTGTCATCTCGGCCCTGCTCGCCGCCGGCATTCTCGAGATGCGTGGCATCGGCGGCCACCCCGGCTGGTTCTGGCTGTTCCTGCTCGAGGGTCTTCTGACCGTTGTTCTCGCCATTATTGTGAGTTGTCCTGCGCTCGCGCGCGCTAGCCTCTCCTTTCCCTTCCACAGAGCCAGGCTGACCTCGACTCCCCCTTCTAGTCCTACCTGTACCTGCCGGCCTCGCCCACCAGCACCAAGAACGTCCTGTTCCCCAAGGGCTGGTACACCGAGCGCCAGGAGGTCATCATGACGAACCGCATCCTCCGCGACGATCCCGCCAAGGGCCTCACGACTCTGCACGAGCCCGCCACCTGGCAGGACGTCAAGAACACTTGGTCGGATCCCTCCATGTGGGGACTGTTCCTCATCGGTCTCGTGGCCTACATCCCCGCGACCCCCGTCCAGGCCTACCTCACGCTTACGCTGCGCCGCATCGGTTTCTCGCGGTTCGACTCGAACATGCTCACCATTCCCTCGGCCGTCCTCCAGATCATCACCATGTTGGTCCTCGCCTACAGCAGCAACCACTTCAACGAGCGCACCTTCCACTGCTTCGTCGGCGAGTTCTGGGTCATGCCGCTGCTCATTGCCCTGCTGACCATCTCGGACGGCGGCCAGGAGTGGGCGCGCTTCACCCTCGTCACCCTCATCTCCGGGTACCCCTACTTCCACCCGATTGTCACTTCGTGGATCTCGGAAAATACCTTTGACGTGAAAAAGCGAGCCATCGCTGCCGCCACCTACAACGTCATTGTCCAGATGGGCAGTCTCATTGGCAGCCAGATCTACCGCTCCTACGATGGCCCTTACTTCAAGCAGGGCAACAAAGTGCTTGTCTCCATCTGCGCCTTTGCCCTCGTCGTCTTCGTTGCCCAGCGCCAGGTCATTGTCTACCTCAACGGAAAGAAGGAGAAGAAGTGGGCCGCCATGTCCGATGAGGACCGTCACATCTACCAGAACGATGTGCAGGCCCGCGAGGTGGACGGCAACAAGCGTCTCGACTTCCGCTACACCTACTAGGCTTGCCCTGCCCTGCCCTGTATAATGCTGGTGATATGCAACCTGCCTGTTTTCGATGCCATAGTTAGCCTGTCATAATCATTGGGCCCATGAGCCCCCTCCTCACATGCCGTCTGTCGATGATTGTCCGTGATGGTGCAGATGCAAGATACTCAGCGTACAATTTAATGTCGTCTTGTCCGAAATCCGGACCCCGGACCCACACAACGCCATCGCGGCACCCCCCGTAGCTGTCTTCTCTCCAGGATACTCTCCAGCAGTTCATCAGCGCTCTTCAGCTGTCAAAGGGGGCCGGAAAGTCAAAAGTCGGCCTGGACCCTGGATGCCCCCGCTAGAACCCCCCCGCCCCCTTGCAATTTTTCTGCACACATCCCCCCTTGAACCATGCGGCCCGCGTGGACCACCCCTCCAGAATGGGGACGAGCCCCGCTAGCGGCACACCGAGGCACACCATACATCCATCTCCACTCATCGTCGATGCCCTCTATCCTCGAACGATCCCTCCCCCCTCCCCCCTCTCTCCCTCCACCTCCAATACCACCACCACCACCACCATCACCAACACCATTGACCATGCGTCCTCCATGACAAACATGCCGGCCGCGCCACCCAAACCGCGCAAGATTGGCTCCCGAGCCTGCGATGCCTGCAAGATCCGAAAGGTGAAGTGCACCGAAATTCCGCCTTGTCGTCGGTGCAGCACCATCGGTATTGAGTGCACCTTCAACAAGGGACAGGCCACGAGGGGTCCGAGGAGCCTCCGAGCCAAGACGTGGCAGCAGATTCGAGATGCGCAGCAGCAGCAGCAGCAGCAGTACCAGGAGAAAGCTCCCGAAGATGCTGCGGCGACGCGCGATGGGAGCGCTGATGGGAGCCCCCTCTCGTCCACCGGCCGGGACCCTTTGATGAACAACTCGACGACCCCCGTCATTGCCGTCGAATGGCTCGTCCTGCGGCTCTGCATCTACCGTCTGCGCCTCTTCCCGGTATGGCCCATTGTCGCCGTCGAGGAGGTCATCGCCTCGCTACAGCGCGATGCCGAGGACCAAGAGATGTACGCCCTCGCCACGGCCATTGGCGCTGCCACCATGGCCCAGCTCAAACTGGACCGTTCCCGCGACTGCGGCATCAACGACGCTGTGACCGCCCATGTCCTCGAAGCAGAGTGCCAGCGGAGCCGCGTCCTGCTCGACTCGCAGCCCGCCAACCTCAACAAGCTGCGGACCTCCTTCTTCCTCCACATCTTCCACGAGAACCAGCAGCCCGGCGGCACCAAGTCGCTGTTGTACCTGCGCGAGGCCATCACGCTCGCCCAGATCATCGGTCTGCACCGCGCGACTTCCTACGCCGTGCTTCCGTCTGCCGAGCAGCGCATCCGACGCCGCACCATCTGGCTGCTCTTCGTCACCGAACGCGGCGTGTCCATGCTGCACAAGCTGCCCGTGGTGCTCGACTCCAACGGCAAGCTGCCGCCGCTCGACAGTGGCGATGCCGACGACGAAGCCCACATCCTGCCAGCCTTTAAAAAGCTTGTCAACTTGTTCTGGATTTTTGATCAGTCTGGCGCCTTTGAGATTCTACAAGATTCAGCCGACGGTGCTGAAGGCGCCGGCGCGCGAAACTTTGATGTCCTGAGCACGCTGCAGCGACGTCTGCAGGAGGATGCCCTCGATCTCGAGCAGGGCGGCAACGACGTACAAAAGGCCGACATTCTCGCAACCCGTCAGTGGATGCAGATTCTCATTTGGCGCGCCAACACGGGCCGTCGCGCCAACGCCGCAGCCATTGCCGTACACGGTCCGATCCAGATCGCCACGGAGTTTCTCGATCTCGCAGCGCGGCTCCCGAGCGCGGCTCTCGAGGCACACGGACCCGGCATTGAGTTCAAGGTCTTTGAGATTGCGAGCGCCGTCGCCGATGTCATTGCCAGCCACCTCAGCCAGTCGAACGCGCTGCCGATGGACGTCCGCCCCAGCGACATTCTCGCGCGTTTGCAGACGCTACTCGCCTCGACGCGCGGCGGGAACAACAGCCTGCTGCGTCTTCTCGGAGCGCGCATCGCCCAGGCTGAAGCCCAGCCAGCAGCGCACTTCAGCCTCGGCCCTTCCATGGTCCCTCACCAACGCGTTGACGAGATCCTCGACGGCGGCATCTCGTCCTGGAATCAAGCAAACGGAAACCCCGAGCAGACGTTTGATGTGCAAGCCTACCACGACCAGGCCGCCATGACGCAGATGCAACCCCTCGGCTGGCCGTTCCCCGCGTCACCCTGGCTGTCCCTCGTGGCCGCCGCCGAACTCGAGCAGCAGCAGCACGCCGACGGCACCAGAGGCCAGCAGATGCAGGGTGAAGCAGAAGGCATGAGCCCTGGCACGGGCGGCTGGTTTTCGCAATCGCTCGACCTCTTGGCCCAGCTCGAATCGGAGCCACCCACGAGCGAGGCCTCCATGGAGAGTCTGCCCGGAAACAACAGCGTCGACATGATGACGGGCGATCCTTGGTTGCTCGATCTGGGGCAGTCCTGAGAGTCGGGTGGTTGACTCATGCGGCGGCGGGCTTTCGATTAGCGCGCCAGTTTTCCGATTATCCCGACAATTTCTCCGAACTTGGGGGGGCACTAAAGCGGGCAGGCTGCTGTGCTCACCGAGCTCGTCCTCTCCACGTCGCACCTTTACACATTATCCTTCACACCACACGACGTAACAATGGCCTGGCAAGAACCGCGTAATACGGGCATGGTCTACCGCCGCCTGGGCAACTCGGGACTTCACGTCTCGGCGTTGGGCCTCGGCGGCTGGCTCACCTTTGGCGGCCAGAACGGTGACGAGACGACGTTTGAGTGCATGAAGCAGGCCTACGACTGCGGCATCAACTTCTTCGACACGGCCGAAAGCTACGCTGGCGGCCAATCCGAGGTTGTCATGGGCAAGGCTTTCAAGAAGTTTGGCTGGAACCGTAACGACATTGTCGTGACGACCAAGCTCAACTGGGGCGGCGCCAACGGTGAGGTGCTCGTCAACAACCACGGCCTCAGCCGCAAGCACATTATCGAGGGCTTGCGCGCGTCTCTGAAGCGCCTCGACCTCGAGTACGTCGACGTTGTCTACGCCCACAGGCCCGATCGCCTGACGCCCATGGAGGAGACGGTGCGCGCCTTCAACCACGTCATTGAAGTCAAGGGCTGGGCCATGTACTGGGGAACGAGCGAGTGGAGCGCCGACGAGATTGCCGAGGCCAGCGGCATCGCCAAGCAGCTGGGTCTCATCGGTCCCATCGTCGAGCAGCCCTTTTACAACCTCTTGCACAGGCAAAAGGTCGAGGGCGAATTCCAGCGTCTCTACAGCCGTTTCGGCATTGGCTTGACAACCTTTAGCCCTCTCAAATTTGGCCTCCTCAGCGGCAAGTACAATGACTCGCCCGACAGCCCTCCGGCCGGCAGCCGCTTCGCCAAGGGCGACGACAAGTTTGTCAGCTCCGTGCGCGACGCCTACGGCGACAAGGCATGGCAGGATGATATCGCCAAGGTGCAGAAGCTCAAGGTATGTTTCCCACCACTATTGACCGGGGACTTGCACTAACGGATCAGCCCATCGCCGACAAGCTCGGCATTCCGCAGGCCGAGCTCGCCCTCGCCTGGTGCCTCAAGAACCCCAACGTCTCCTCCGTCATCACGGGCGCCTCCCGGCCAGAGCAGGTCGTTGCCAACTGCAAGGCTCTGCAGTCCCTGGACAAGTTGACGCCCGATGTCATGGCCGAGATTGATGAGGCTTTCGGCAAGATTGACCTGGACCCTGCGCGACAGGACTAAAAGAGAAAATAAAGCTTGTCATTGAACGTGCTACGACCGGACTCGTG